CTTGAACCCCAGTTGGCCTCATCGGTCGCTCACACTGAGCCTGGTTCTACTGGATGTTTCTTCCTGTTAAAAGGGAGGTTTTCCTCTCCACTGTCGCTACAAGCTTGCTTATTGTGAGGGATTGCATTCGAGTTGATGAGTCGATGCAATCAACTGGTTTTCCTTAGATAGAAAACTTTTAATCCAATTTGACTGTATGATCTGGTGAACTGTAAGGTGCCTTAAGATGACGTGTTGTGAATTGGCGCTATATAAATAAACTGAATTGAATTGACTTAAGTGTTAATTTGGCCTACTCCTGCATTGGAAAGATAAGGGATTTTGTCTGTGACCAAAGACCTTATGATTCACACTCTATTCATAGTTTCCCACAATACCAAAAAAATTACCAGGTTCCAAAGCTTATATGCTCAATACTACACAACACTACACAATATACCACAGAGTGATTTCACTCAGTTAAAAGCACAATAAAGTTGCTTTATAGTCAAACATTTTAAGAATGCATAAGCTCAGTTCAGATATGCCATGTGACGCAACGTTCCAGCTATGACTTTAAAAGACAACTGCAAAAATGACAAGTAAAAACAAATAAATATATACTTTACAAAAAGACACAGGCACTGTCTGGCAGTAGGTCAGAGAAAGCTCTTTCTGTTTTTGCTCAGAGGAAAAAGCATATATTTTTATAATCCATTTTAGAAAAAAGCATAAAAAATATAAGATATTTTTTACCCATTTAAATACCCAAACTGCAATTTCCAGACTGATGAATGAGATGTAACATTAATATTTGCAAATATTTGTATAATAATATCTTTTCAGTGAGTTACACAGGTCCCTAATGCAGCAAAAAACACAACATGATGCTGCCACAATCATTTCTTCCCCAATGTACTTTACAGCTGGGATGCTGTTGTCAGGCTTACAAGTTTACCCTTTTCCTTCCAACTGTAATTTTGCCCCAAACATTTAATTGTATTTTATAAAGCCACAGGGCATTTCTTGAAGAATAAAGATGTTTCCCAGACTGCATTTTGGAAACTGTAATCTTTTCCTTGTAAACTCTTTATGTTATTTAGGGTAACGGCCTCTTCCTCTCTGAGTGGCTTTCCAGCTCATGGTAGGACTGGAACCCATTTCACTGTGGCTGAAGCCACGCTCATACCTGCTTCAGTCAGTGTATTGTGATCGAAAGCCAATAAAGCCTAAAAGGTGTTCATTCTTTTAACTATACTTTTGTTAAAATCTGAATATTGAACAGTTGCTGTTTAAACTGTTTGGAAAATATTCAAAATTCTAAGCGTATCTAAACAATTCCCTTTTTGTTAAGAAATCTTCCCCCTATTTCCCGTCACACATATCCAATCTTGTTACAGCTGTCAACACTCGTCTCATGTTACTGCTTCTTTATAAGGAAAAGTGAAACAAAAAGGCTTTCCTAATTATCCGTCAAATTTAACAGCCATTTTTTGCATAAAATCCTGCCCCAATATGTTGTTTTTCAAAAGGCTATGATATTAGTCATAATCTGTGAGTAATAATGTGATTACTATTCAGATGTGTTCCCGCTCCACCTGTTCAAAGCCTTCAGTGACCCATGCTTGCTCAGTAGTAATTTAATGGCCTTAAGACAATCCTCTGAGCCACGCAGGTTATTTTAGGACTTAGCTCTATGGTCCAGACTGTTCGATGAAAGTCAGAAATACACACAGAGCTATAGCAACCGGAAATTATCCTTGTTTCTGGGCCGTTCCTGAATCTACACCCTCGGACATTGTCTTGACTGTGTCTGTGTTTAGGCTTAATCGGAGGGGAACTGCAGCAGTTAGCATGTTCAGACAAGAAAATGTAGAAGTTATTGTAAAAACAGAGAAACGCTCAGGCAAGGCATGACAGAGCGGCGCTAAGCCAAGGTGCAGCATGAGGAAACTCTATCAGCGTGGTTCAAGGTGGCCTGTTCCCTCTCTTCATACACAGGGTGGGGTTTAGGTCAGCAGGGAGAGTATTGTTTCATTCACAGCCTTGTAGTCATCTTACTGCCCTTGTGGCTGCTGCTGCATTAACAGAAGCTCTCAAGCTTTTTTTCCATTTCCTAATGACATGCATATTTTCATAATTGGTTCTCCTTCTTTACCATCCAAAGTTCCCAAATTCTCTCTTTTCTTAACAATAGATCCATTCAAGTGGTACATGTATTTAATTTTGCCCTACGGAAACAGCCTGCGGAATGACTACCATCCATCCATCCATTCATCCATCCATCCATCCATCCATCCATCCATCCATCCATCCATCCATCCATCCATCCATCCATCCATCCATCCATCCATCCATCCATCCATCCATCTGCTGTCACGCTTAATCTCAGTTGGGGTCGCGAGGGGTGCTGGTGTCTATCTCCAACTATCTACGGCGAGAGGCAGGGTACACCTGGACAGGTCGCCAGTCCATTGCAGGGTAACACAGAGACAAACAGGACAAACAACCATTCATGCATACACCCACACCTAAGGAAGCCAATTAACCTAACAGTCATGTTTTTGGAAATTACTATTATGCACTGAAAATGATCACCACACATTGGATCTATACAGACCTCACAAATTAAAACATTTCTGTAACGAGGTTCAGCAATTCATTTGGAAACTTTTGTCTGAAAAACATGACATTTTTTTAATGCAACTAAAATGTCTATGAATTAATGACAAAGCATGTTATTGGTGGTAATGATGATAATTAGCTAAATAAATCAATTAGATAAAAAAATGATATGTGTTGACACAGAAACAGTAAATAAGTTCCTTGGACTAGTTTTGTTTTTAATTTTTTTTGTTTTTGCAATGATTAAAAAAAAGAAGTTGTTGCATTTTTAACAGTCATCATATTAAATATGATCACAGCTTTCATCTCCTATATCTGTTGTCTTCAGAGCTGCATATGGCTTTTTGCTCACTTAACATTTGGTAATGAACTATTACCATGTTTTTTGTTTCATTCTTTCTTTTTTTTTTTTTTTACAGTGTCCTGTCTGCCGATGTGGCAATAAGAATAACTGTCTTAATGCCAAAAAGAGAGCCCAATAGATTTTGCTTTCACAAGTGAAGCAGTACGGCTATCGCCATAGTATTCTGCTTTATTTATGCATATAAATAGCTTTATTATAATTCATGCAGGCAGTATTACAGATGGCGCAGTGGGTAGCACTGCCCCCTTGCAGCAAGAAGGTTCTGGGTCTTTCTACATGGAGTTTGCATTTTCTCCCTGAGCATGCATGGGTTTTCTCTGGGTACTCCGGCTTCCTCCCACAGTCCAAAAACATGACAGTTTGGTTAATTGGCTTCTCTAAATTCTCTCCTTTTTGTCTCTGTGTTGCCTTTCGATGGACTGAGGACCTTTCCAGGGTATACCCTGCCTCTCGCCCCTAGACAGCTGGAGATGGGCCCCAGCACCCCTCGCCACCCCACTTGGGATTAAGTGTGTGAGAAAATGGATGGATGGAGTATTACAGATTGTATGGACACTGCAATGTAAGTAGAACAGGAAAGGAAAAACTGGAAAAAAAAAAAGAAAGAAAGATGAGATAAAAGGGGAGATAACGATAAAACCTCTTCAGTCTGCTTCATCGCCTGCAAAGAGATGTAAAAAGAACAGCACAACCAACGGATATAGTATAAGAGATACAATAAAGTAACACCTTGATACTATCGCTGAAGTTTAAGTAGTATTATTTAATCTGACTTGTAGGAGCTGTTTTTTACGGAAGCCGAGAGTGGTCGTGTATCTAAGATACTTTTTTACAGTGGTTTTCTCGAGAAAATAAGTTAATTTTCTCATTATCTAAAGATAATGTAAGCCGTTTTCTCGTGATAACGAGGTGATAGTTTTCTCATTAAAAAGCTGTTTTCTTGTGATATCGAGATGATTGGTGTTTATTAAAACTGATTGCATCATTCAACACGACGACAGCAGGAGAGGATTTATAAGTCATAGCAGTGTGTGTGTAATTCTGTAAATAATCCTGTGTTCAACTTTTAGGTAACGAGACGGCATTGATGGTTTGATGATTTGCTTCCACTTCTGATTCATCAGCAATTAGACCTATGCCTCCGCTGGTTTAGCGCCAAATGTTTTCTGAACAGCCCTGGTGTTACACCTGTAACAGGTATAAGAGTCATTAACCCCCAAAATGAGTCCTGATTAAATATTTTCATTGAAAAACAGTCATATTTGTTTCTACAGCATTCCATGCAATCCAATCATCCACCACGACCTGACAAGGAGAGAAAAGAAATAGGAAACAAAAAAAATATTATTTGCGCACACATGGTACCGTGTTATGCATAACCACTGGCACAGCAGGCATGGATAGACTGGGAACCAAGCGCTGTTGGCCAGCCTCATTTGTTACTCATACAGGTTAATAATCTCGTTAACGCGAGATATCAGTAACTGTTTTCTCGAGATAATTATCTCGTTATCTCGAGAAAACAATTGTTTGATAAGCCGTGATAACGAGATAGTTATGTTGTTATCTAGAGAAGACAAAGGACCAAAAAAAAGTTGGGTATGACTGCTCTAGGCTTCCGCAGTTTTTCATTCTTTTGCAATGAAAAAACACTGGCCCCACCCCGGCCCCCCTGGTAAATTTGCTCTTCAACCACCCCTGTGTGAGACCATCACTTCTCCCAACAAACTTAAATTATATCCTGGATGTTATTCATAGTTTCTGTCATATTGTATAACATTTCTGCTGTTATTTGTACATCACTGTTGTCTGAACATTTTAAGTTTTCATATATTATTAATAATGTTTTCATTCTCTAATGAACAGTGCACATGTATTTTATGGCAGTGTGTATGAACAGGTAGATGAATGATACTCCTTCAGTCTTCGTCAGCTGTTGCGTAAGAGCCGTATCAGGCTGTCGGTTGGTAGGTAAGGCAGTCGTGCTTATCCGCTCGTGAGAAAAAAAAAGTGAGAGGGCGGGTGCGATGTGGAGAGAGATGAAGAGGACGGAGGGGGCGGATATCTCCTCAGTAGCTCGTGGTTCGGGATGAGGCGGCGGCAGTAGAGGACAGCTGAAAGCAGAGGAGCTTAAATCTATGCGAGGAGGACCTTATTCTCCACCATTATCACCTCAGGTGTTCACCCTCCAGCTTGCCGCAGCGAACGCCATCGGAGAGGTTCCCAGTTTTGCTGCAGGTAGGTCTTGGAGCCACCGACAGTTGCGTAGCAGCCGCTATGCAGGGATCCACTGCGCATTGACGCAGTGACGCTGCGTTCACCTGAGCCGCGCGACTCACCGTTCAGGTTCAGGTTCACACGCCAGGGTTTCACTCAGCCTGGATTGATTATTTATTAATTTTTTCATATTAATCTGATCTCCTAATTAGCTGTAGCCGAATCTCCATCCCAAAGGGCGATGAGGAAAGGCTCAGACAATTTTCCAGCGTTTGTTGTGCCGCAGAAGCGCCGCGCTGTAACGTCACCTGAGCGCTCCAGTATTAGTGCAAAGTTAGGAACACCTTCCAAAGTCTAAAACAACTGTGTTTTTGGTTCGATAGAAGGAAATCAATCGTTGGTGTTTATTTTTAGTCACATTATCAATTAATTGATTTGCTTTAAAAAAGGACAGTGTATAATCATGGAGGATCAGAAGTGCTTTAATGCAATAAATCAACAATCCTATAACTATAACATGGATTTAGACTACAATAATTATTTGTCATTGATTATCTGGTTTTATATATATATATATATATATATATATATATATATATATATATATATATATATATATATATATATATATATATATATATATATATATATATATAAATAAATTAGGTGATTTCATGCAGACCAGGGCTTTTCCTCATCTGTCATTATTTGCAATCAGAGACAAGGGGCAGGGCTACCATTACCATAGTCAAATTTATTGGTCTGAAGCAGATGTTTTGGGTCTTTTCAAACCATTTATGTGGACACTTTAACCCACAAAGGTCAACATTTTGGCAGATTCTTCTTTTTTAATTATATAATCCTTTTAGACAACATTTAAATGTTGTCTAAATTAAATGTTGTCTTAAACATTTAAATCACATGCTTAGTATTTTATTTTATTTGTTTGCACAGTTCTGGCCATGTGATCGAATAAGAATCTCTTTACTTTAAATGTATCTTATGACAATCCCTGTTTGGATACGATTTAATTTCATTCATTTGGAGCTTTTAATTAGACTGAATGAAATATGAAGCAAAAGATCTTACACTGAGCAGTTTTATAGTCCACTGAAAAATGGGAGAGTCCTGACAGATCTCCTTAATTTGAAAGACAACCAGCCTACTGTAAAAGATTTTTAAGAGGTTAGGTAACATTTACCAGCTGTTTTGAAAGAATTTCAACTGATATTGCAAGTAGAGCAAAACTGAAAGGGTGTAAACAGGACAAGGATGACTTGTGACTATACTGTACCTCAGTACTAATTGCCATATGCAAGGTTAATTTCACTGTCTTAATAGTTTGAAAGACATTTTCTCTAGCAGGAAAAACAGATAATAGTTGTTTTTTTTTTTTACAGGAGATATAATAAACTGCCTGGAACAGAAATGCTAAATATGCAATGAAAAAAATGTTATTGTTTCTAAGAGAATAAGTTACAGGCAGTCGTAAGGGTGCAGATTCATAAAATGATATCAATTTTAAAAAAAATAAAGAAAGAACATGCATCATAACGTTAAACTTTTAACAAAAGAATAAGGTTATAGATTTCTTGAAATTATTAATCATTAATTAAAAGCAGCAAACATTTTAATCAAGTTCTTTTATGGCTGAAATATGGACTAAGTTTGGGATTTTTTTCAGCTAACACTTCATTTACAGACAAGTTGTTTGAAAGCACAACATAAGTTTATTGCATCCAGCTGCAACAGTGTTAGATTCTGGGTTTTAAGCAGAGCTGTGGTTAACTTTCTGTAGTCTGCAAAGTTTATGACTTACGATGCCTGTAATTTGTGTGACAGAAAGTGTTTTGTGGCTTAGCGGGATGTAAGAGTTGTCTCAATAATAAAGCAGCTATTTTTCAGGGTGGGTTTTTGGTAAGAAATGTAGGAGCTAATTAAAAGATTTCAGAGTTTCTGCTGAACTTTAAATGGTTTACAAATCATATCATTTGACTTAATTATGCCTCCAGTATATTTTGATTCAAATTAATAACCTTTTTTATGAGTTTAAGACATAAAAGAGAATAAAAGAGGAGAAATTTACAACCGATTCCAATGATAAAGGGAGATGTTGAGAATCAAAGGGTTGAAGGTTTATTCTCATGCATTTCCGCATGTATCTCTATGACCGTCTATTGCTCTCTATTAAAGTTGGTTAATTATTTGGTTGAAAAATAAAAAAATGGGGAAAGATGGTAGTGTCAGGTAAATGGAAAATCAGCTGATTCTGCCCTTAAAGCCTTTTGTCTGTGATTTTGTCTGATCACTAACATTAGAGGAGCTTTGATTTTTGTCACCTTTAACTGGAAAATCCTCCTCAGCAGTGATCGAAAACATATGTACAGTAACTGTTTCTGATGACTGTTCTTGCATCTTCTGTGTGGGCGATTACTTTTTTGACTCCGCCCAACCTTCCCTACAGAGGCACACACACGGCACAGAGAGGGGTCTTTACATGGATGGGTTCGGTCTGACGCATCTAGAAGTGTCATATGATCTCACCTGGAAAACTTTCTGGAAAACCAATTTTTCCAGGTTAAGAGCTCAAGTGTCTTGAGATCCTTGAGTGAAAGTTAATAAATTGATGGAAGGGTCTGTTTTTCTTATGTGATTTTTTTTTTTGTGGCAGTTAGATGATACAGTGGATGCTGCTTGCAAAATGTGTTTGTTCAACATGTGGAAATTTGTAACTGTAAAGCAGCGACCTCCCCTGTGACTCACATTCCAACACAACCACACATACTCCTTCTTTCCCTTTTCTTCCTGTTTCTCACATGCACAAATATTCACATACATTCACTTCCTAACTCTCCAGCCTCTCCACGTCCAGGATGCAGTACAAACAAGCTACACATCAAATCTGGCTGTTTGGTAAGCAGCCATGCAATACAGCCAGAAGCACATTGACACTCGGCATTACATCTACATTTCTGTCTTTGTATTTCCTAAAATAATTAAGGACATCTTTACAGTCCTTTTTACTTACATCGTGCTCCGTGTTTCTGCTAAAAGACTCTTTATTTTCTATAGCTTGAGTCTCAGTTTCTTTTTTTATATATATATATTTACTCCCTTTGCACATTTTTTCCTTCCATTACTCACAAATTTTCCTATACACTTTCTGAGAGCTGCCTTTATACTGACTAAAGAAATCAGTTCATGCATGCAGACACATGTGCTTCATCCCCATATTTTGTTTTCCTTTTGATAAGGTGAGAACATTGAATAATATTTATTTTTATTAATTGCCTGGTCTTCATTTATCATATTTAATGTGTTTCTACAGCAAAAAAGCATGTTCTTTATTAATAGTATACAAAATAATAATGATGTTCACAGTATGAGTAGCATGGATTAAGCAGTTACCATTTTGATATGTACTGACTGAATGTTTACACAGGAGTTGGTATGAGCTTCCCCTGTGTTATAACGATATGTACAAATACCAGATTTTGCTTTGAGACTGAAAATAAATTTAAATAGGGACTGAAAATGAAACAAAAATATGGAACATACTATATAAAGCTCTTCAGTAAAACAAAAATTAAAAAACAGTAATCCTTAAAACTGTAAAAAAAAAAAAAACAGTTTATTTAAAACCGCGTATGTTGGCCGCTTAACCCAGGAGGGTCTTTACTATAATTGAACTGCCATTTTAGTGATAATTTTAGCACTTACCGGTATTTTGTTATTTGGATTTTAACACAAACTTGACATTAGAACAGCCAGGCTACAGCATCATGAAAACAGACGAGCCACTTGTAAAGTGTAGTTTTAAAACCATAGTACCTCAATAAGAGGGACAGTTGAGCTCTTTTAGTTGCAATGGCAAAATTGGTTGTTTTTTTAAAATCCTTTTTCACAATATTTCTGAAGTGATTTGTTTGTCTGTCTTTGAATTAAATCACAAGTGTTAAGTCTTTAAGGCAGCTGACCGGCTGTGTGCAGCAACGTTACTGCATATCAAAGACCACTCCAACCACCGTGGTGCTTTCCTTAGAGTCCTCTTAAACTCACTTAACACCAAAAGAAACATTGTGTTGTAGAAAAGTTAAGCAGTTCTGAAAGCATTGATTTAAAAAAAAAAAGCATGTTGTACCTTGGTGCTTGTTACTAGCTAATGCCTCACATGAGCCTAAGCATTAATGTTTTAGTTCTTGATTTTATTGGGCTTTAACCATTACAGTCAAATAAAAACATACGGTACATTGTTTTAATTCAGCTACATAAAGTATGTAATTCTTGAAAAAGGGACAAACTCTTTAAAGTACTGGGAAACTTCAATAAATCATTTGGTTTCACAAATGAAATATTTTAACAAAAACCTTCAACATAATTTACTTAATTGTACTTCTTGGAAATGTTACCTGTTAAAATCTGAAATGGCACTTTAAAGAATACAATAAATCTGTATCCTCCAGAAAAACCCTGATTGGTGCATTTCTTTTCTTTTTTTTTTTTAATTGGTTAGAAAATAAAACGTATGACTACTACTACAACTCATGAAGAAAGTACATCCGTGTAAATTTTTTATATCAGTATTGACAAATGTAATACCTTAGTGCTCTTTGCTCGTTTTTTTACACAGTTAAGATTAAAATAAATGAAATTTGAATCATCCTGATGCATGTTTTCTGTTCAAGAATTTGGCCTGTTATTGCTGCAGCTGTAGTTCCAATGTACCCAATTTAAGGAACAGAACTAAAACAGTACTAATCTTTGACGAATGAAAACAAGCCTGGACCCTTGATAGAATGACACAGAGGTCAGGGAAACAGCAGGCAGTCACCAAATTGCCATCTGCAATTGCCAAATTGCATTTTAATCAGGAACCATCTGATCAATTACTACGTAAACAAGATTCCAGCTATGACTGGCTCTTGTGTTCGTCAGTACTCTATGTACTCTGTGCCTAGAAAACTTAATGGCGCGCACAACCACACAAGAAATCTAAACCATACTATTGATGACAGGCATTTGGATCAGCCTTAGTAAAGCAGAGTTATCCAAGTCGGTGCACAGAGAGAAGAATCGATCAAATCAGTGGAAACGTTCCCCTGCCAGAATGTCTGGATTCTGGAAAAGAGAGTATGAATTTTTTTCAGGAAAAAGGGAGTTCCTGCAGAAACCTCACTGTGTGTGCCCCACCCACATCCAACCCAACCATTCCCATATGCACACATACACATACACACACACCTCCCAGGTTTCTTCTGGAAAGTTTGTGCGTTCACTCGTCATATTAATGCATGAGTTTGCAGACATGACATCACTGCTGCAGCGATTAACTGATTAGTAGCAGCTGCTGGTACATTTACTCATGTTGTATAACAATCAGGTCCATACCGTGAGTTTATAGTAATCTTCAGATTGCTGCCTGCTACTGTACAGCTGGATATTGGCGACGGGCATTTCCTGCAAACAAGGCAAGCATTGTGCCAGAGAGAGTGACGACATGCAGACAACATGCTCACCACATTACATTTCAAATGCAGAGTGAAGTGTTCAGGCCCCCTCTCCCAAGGGCTTTAGAAGATAAAAATACTCAGGCCGTGCACCCATCTGCTGTCCCCCCTGCAAACGGTCTCAGAGGAACATAACTTCTATTTGTGAGTCTATGTGTGTGTGTGTGTGTGTTTTAGTCATCGTTTAAGGGATTCTGGCTGCAGCATGCACAGATGTGTCAAAGACGCGAGAATGAATGATGTTTGCTCAACGGTTTGCTGAAACAGACAGGAAAGGCTAATGTTTTTGCAAAAGGATTTTTAACCATTTTTCTTTCAAATTCAAACAATTTGAAAGAGCTGTGCCTCAAACTGAATTTTCTCTATTTATATCAGTCCAGTGGACCAAAACATTCCCGTTGCTTCTGCTATGTTTAGGTTCTGGATCATTTGAGCAACTGAATCTTTACTAAATCTTACTTGGTTAAACTCAACAATTATTATTTGTTGCATGTGCATATTCCAATATTTCTGCACATAATCTTGCACTGAATAATTTAGATCTTGCTAGAAGAATTGTATCAAACTCCATTACCAAATTACTGCTTGTTATGAAGCAGCTTCTCTTTTTATTTTACATTACTTCCTTGACAGAATTGATCAAACCTGTTCAACCTGTAGCAATAGTTTCCATGTGATTACCTCACTTTTATGACCTCTCATCTTCTTTTGTTTTTGTCCGTTTTTAGTCATGGGTTGATCCCATTATCCTTATCTTCTGTACTATATTTGCCACCCTCCATGCTTCTCTTGGTCCTAATTGTATCACTGAAACCCTCACCGATTGCCTCGTTGTGACCTCTATTGTCAGCCTCATCACATCAAGCCTCTTTCACCTTCTCCGCCTCTCCATCTTTACTTTCTCTCCCTATTCCTAGTCTTTTCTAAAAATTGCCCCCATGTTTCTAAATTCTTGTTTTGCCTCCCTGCTTTTTTCTTATTCTGTCTCTCTTCAATATGGATTTTATTTACCTTACTGAGCTGTGTAGCTTTAAAAGGTTGTAGTAGAAGAAAAGAAAAACAGGATGCCATGATTGAAAATGGTAGAAAATGTGGTTGCTGAAATGAGAAAAAAATATAAACATTCAGGCTACTGTGAGTGGGTGGAGAGTGAGATATTCTAACACTTGTATTCCTGTGTGGACTATTTTTCACTACTTGTTATTGTTGTCTTAAAGCATATGCAGTTCTATGAATATTCTCTAAACATGAGATTTACATTTTCTGAGCATTTGTTAAGAATTTCAAGATGGATTATTCTTGTATACACATAGCGGCTCAAACACGTTTTCCATTTATTGACACATTTCCTCACACCTTAAGGCTGTTTAAGAGCCTTGGGTACATGTGCAAATCCTGGTGTGTAACTGCAGTAACATTGCTGAGGTCTTATCATCATGGATTTGAATGGAAGCAGGGTGAGTCATTCGCAGCAGAATAAAATCTCCCATAGGTCCTGATTTCTATTTTCTGAATCCCCCCATCTTCTGGTTTAGCTGAAGTTGTAGTTTGTGCCAGATTTGTTCCCAGAGGTTACCTCCCACTCTGAGTCGTCTGGAGAAAATGATGTTGAAGAATGGTGTTGAGGGATTTATCTAGCAGCTGTTTGGTTAGAACACTTACACAATCCTCAGGTGTCTGGGGGAAGCAGTTTCATGTCACCTGGCTCCTGCCCTCATGACTCAGATAGCTTCCAAAGAAGCCCTCCTACTAAGAAGGAACCACACAAAAGACATGTGGTGAAGAAAATCTTAATATTTTCCAGAAGACATTTCCAGGCACAATATGATGAAAACGTTATTTTACCCATCTGTCATCAAAATAAAACCATCTGTGACTCCCATCATTTCGATTTGGTCTATCATTTTATCATTGGAATTGCACAGACGACCTATTTTCAGGGGTACATTTAAAAAATAAATTGTACTGATAGTAATGTTGAATTCCTTTACACAGTAAAATAAACAGACAAACTTAAAAATGACACTTTGATGGTGGCAGTTTGGGAATATAAAGAAGATCTTATCTTGAATTATTGCAACACTGCAGTTGACAGCACTTTTTTGAACTCTTGTAAAGGTTTTTTTCGAGGGCAGAGGTAAATGGGGAGGTGTTAAACTGTCTTATAAATCAAAGTAAGGCTTAGCAAGAAGAGATTGATTCCCTAAGTCGGGGTTGTGACCCCTCTTGGGGTCCTTGATCAACTTATATGGGGTCTTGAGGTCCACTAGAGAAATTAAACTATGCAATAAAAATTTATTTTAAAGTGCTTAAAGATAAGAAATCCTTACTTAAAAATGGACAGAACTTTCTAATATAATAGCACTTTTATTTTTATTTAGTTCATAGAAGCTAAGGAAGGTTGGGTTGTGTATTGACTCTAGTATCATTTTGTGGGTCAGAGGATGAAGTTTGGGATTCTATGCCCAAGAGAATGTAGATTCTTCTTAATTTTACTTCTCAAGTTTAACAGCATATCTAAGTCAGACAGGTGCCATGACAGAAACTAAAAGCTCCAAACAATGTGGAAAATGTAAGCATCATTGCTGACCACTCTTAAGCCTTTCTTTTATCTGCTGAGAATTATTCCCTCTGTAAAAAAAAGATTTTTCTTTACTTCTTTAAGTGGGGCATTATACTTTTGCGGGAAATACGTACACAGGATACGTCTTTATTCACCTGATTCAGGAATATTTTCTGCTTAGTAATGGTGTATTCTTTTTTTTTTTCCAACAGTGGAAGAATGGTGTAACAAATAGGCCAGGAATCCCAGAAGGACAATTTTACTTCCTTTTTGAATATGGCTCCCAAGTCATTCCTGTTCCAGGCTTTGGTTCTCCTTTTCTTCAAGTTTTCTGCTGCACAGACCATCATCGGTTCCTCCCCCTCCTTCACAGCCCTTAATCTGCCAAGTAACTCCCCTTCACCTACCAAGCAGACCATTAGATTCTGGCCTTCTTTGCCCCCAAGAGGGCGCAGTGATGTTGCCATTAGAGTAACAATCCGGGAGTGGTTTACAGTTTTGAATGCGGTGGAACAGGGTCAAAGAATGATCCATCCAACCACACAGTTCAACCCATCTTTAATATTTACACTGCCTCCACAGAATCTCAGCAGGGGGCACATTTCAACCCACCCAACTGCTTCAAGGCCCAGGACTGACACAGCCAGTTTGGCATTGAGAAGAGCTTTAAAAAGGGAAGAAGCTTTCACAAAAGGCCCAACCCCACCTTTACCCACTTTGGCGTCCCTTGGAGGGCATTCAGAAAAGAGATCAAACACAGACACAGAGGATGGTGATTCACAAGGGCTGGGATCAGGCAGAGCTCCAACAGAGACATCAGAGAAGGTGAAACCAACTGTTCTTCAGCCAACAGATGCTGAGGAAATGGCTCAATATCGACCACAGGCACAGACCATGGTCTCCGATGTAACAAATGAAGAAACTCCATCCCTGGAGGATCAGAATGCCAAGACTCACCTATTTGGGTTGACAACAACCAGTGTAACAACTACAACAGCACAACAAATGACTAAGACAGCAGAATTAACTGGTAAGATATTCAATGGTAAAACAAACCTTTACACCCACCTGGCTTTTGATGTTCCCTCTTTGCTACCAAAGAGGCCGCTTTAAGCTGTAGACTGTAGTTGACCGGTTGTGTAATTTGGTGCTTATACATTAGAAAAAGAGGAGGTCTGAGCCATCAGGAAAGACCTTGATCATGCTGACCAGTTTAAGGGTAAACAGTGGAACATGGAAGAATATATGATGCAGTGTTTTCAGTTTTCTGGTTCAGCTAGGATTTACATCTCCTTAAAGCCGGGCATATACTGTGTGATTTTTTTCAATTGTTTTACGCAGCTACAGCTCACACTGTACGACGAAATTGCAGGGTTTCATAGTACAGTGTAAGTTCACAGCTCACGATGTATGTGCAGCATGACGCTCTGATGCGATCTACCTGCTCACACTCTACGTTTAAAAACCACGTCGGACTCAGCTCTGCACTGAGATGGCGCTACTAAGGCTCGTCTATCCGAAAGACAAAAGATTAGAAGAGGCATAGGAAGCTCACTAGAGTGAAACATGCTGCAAATGTGGCTACTACGGTCGGTCCATTTTGCAAAAATAATTCCATTTCATTAGTACCCCGCCATGCTTCTGTGTTTTCATCTGACAGGAAGAAGAAGAATCGTTGTTTGCGCATGCCCACTGAGCGATTTGCCCACGACGCCCGACTGCAAATCAAACATGTGATTTTCTCCCGAACTCACTATTCCTGATCGGAGGGGGGGTCGTGAGAGGCTGATCGCCCCTTTTTACCCCCTGTACACTACACAACGCACGATCAGGCTGAAAAATTAAAAAATTCTTGCAAGACTGGACAGTCGGCCTGAAAAAGGCAAAAAAATCACAAAGTGTAAGCCTGGCTTAACTAGTGAGTTGGATCAAATTTCAACTAACTACCAGAGGAATGGCCACTAATGACAATGGCTTCTGAAAACTAGAAAAACAAAGTAATGCGACTTGATGTTGGTGTTTAATGTAATTTTGGAGTTGAAATTAAATGTAACTAAAAAAATTTTCAAATATGTTTCTCTTCCATTTCTAGGTAAAGTTGCTGCTGATCCTTCCTCCACTGACAGATTTCAGCCAAAGCAGGCCTCCGATGCCGTGACATCTCCCAAACCCACATCTAGCTCTGCTGATAAACCGCCACAGATTGCAGAACAACCTGTCACCATCAAAAGCCAAGTGGGTCCAAATCCAAACATTTCAATGGAACAAGAAACCCACACGTCTACAATTGCTCTTCCAGCTACTACTCTAGAGGCTGGCTCGACAGCTCCAACTCAAAGCATCAAAACAGCAGAAAAGGGGAGAGATACATTGAGTACTACTGTGCAGTCACCAAGGAGAGGTAAGAAAAAAGAAGCCTGTGTTCTGCCATGACTACTTTCAGAATTTCCTCTGATCATTTAGAGAATAATTATTTATACAGCTGGGAGTTTTTTTTCTTTTTCTTTTTTTTTTTTGGAAACGGGCTTTAAAGGAGCAACAAAGGAGAGAAGATTTTCCATAGAAATAGAGGCTTAAGTTGTGAGGAGTCAAAACAGTTGAAAGCATGAACAGGAGGTTAGAATAAGTGGGTGTGAGGGATAACAGGAAAACAAATTGTAAAGAGAGCAAGGAAGCAAATAAGGTCTGAGAGAAGTAATGCCAATGAGAGTAGTCAGTGACGGTGAAACTGGTAGAAGAAAGATGCTGAGAACAGAGTGGGGATAAAATCCAGACGAAAACAAAAGATGAAGGGAGCCAAGACAGGGAAAAATAAACAGAGAAAGGAAAGCATTACATATGGAGCACAAAAGTCAGTCATAGCACATTTAAAGGGAAGCATTACTGTGAACATAACCATGCTTTTGTTAGCCTGGCATTTTTACAGCTGCTTTTTAGCTTGAAGTTCAGCACAGTCAGAATCAGTGTCCCCCTTCACAACACACAGGTCAGCTTGAGGCACTGGAGCATGAAATAAATATTCTAGATGTCTTTTTATCTTTTAATGGGAACGACAAAATATGAATGATAGACATAAAACATGGTAACTTTGATTAAAGCCGGGCACACGCTGTACGATTTTTTTTTCCCCTTTTCAGGCTGACTTTCCAGTCGTGCGAGAATTTTTCAATCGGGCCGACTTTCAGCCTGATCGTGTGTCTTGTAGTATACAGGGGGTTACGAAGGGCGATCAGCCTCTCACGACCACCTTCCGATCAGGAATCGTGAGGCTGGGAGAAAATCAAACACGTTTGAAATTCAGTCAGCCATCATATGTTGGTCTTGGGCAAATCACTTAGTGGGCATGCACAAACAAGGATTCTTCTTCTTCCTCTCAGATGAAAACACAGAAGCGGGGTGCTAGTGAAACAGAATTATTTCTGTAAACATTACAGACCGTAGTCGCCACGTTTGCTTGGCCATGTTTTTGTCCAAATACATCGTCGACTTTTCTTTTTATGGCTTTCAGTCAGAAAATTGCACAAACAGCCAAGGCAGCGCGTTTCACTCTAGTGAGCTTCCAATTTCTCTTTTACTCGTTTGTTTTCTGGATAGACAAGTCCGAGTAGCGCCATCTCACTGTGGAGCTAAATCCGACAGTGTGAGCAGGTAGATCACATCAGCGCGCCGGGCTAAACATACATCGTGAGCTGTGAACTCACACTGTACGACGCAACCCTGCGGTTTCGTCGTCAAGTGTGAGCTTTAGCAGCGTGCAACGATTGAAAAAAATTAACAGTGTATGCCCGGCTTAAGTCCAACACACCTGAATCAAATGGCTGTTACCTCATGTTAAAGATAGGCTCTGTGGATGCACCTTGAAGCTCTATCTCTCCGGTTCTTTTTCCTGAAATAGATAAATCGGAACTAACTCTTTAAATAAAACTTCATAACTTATATGTATTAAATAACCAGGAGACATGACAACAGATTCTGATAGAAATTGTAATGTTACTCAGATCAGAGAAATTCCTCAGAATGTACAGAAGGCAGCTGCTCACCCCTGGGCTCACCTCTCAGGAAGTGGCCCCGATTAACAGTTAAAAAGGCATTTTATACATCTCCAGTCTGCCACATCATCACATTGTACATCATACACGTTAGCAGATGAGTAGACATCCATGGCTATATTACACTTTGTTCTTAGCTGAGGGACACCACTCTCAATCCATTTCCAAATCTTTGCCATGTACAGAATGAAGATTATAACTGTATATCGGGACAGAATAACTGTTTCAAGTAGATAAACTATTGTGGAAAACATCAGTTCTGACACGCAATAGGCAGCTAATATTAAGGTCTAATAAACTCACACATCATCAATAAAATTTTTCCTAACACTCAGTATGCAGCTGATTTTTTAATAGGGCTGTAAATAATCTAATTACTTGACTAAGGCGTGTTGGATAAACGGCACATCTAAAGTTTGCAGGATGCCGGCTCTCAGAACTAGGATTTACCACCTTTGCTTTATCAGAAAGTTTACCAAATGTTTCAGCTTTTCACTTCACAAGCAGCAGTGACAGATCTGTGATCATTGGTTCAGTGTATGAACACTTATACCTGATCAGTGAAAATGGTTATAATTGAAATGCAGACAGCATCAATGAGTTGCTTTACTTTTTCTTTAAGCACATTTTTTTTTAAATCACTAAGGTATAGCATAAATCCGTTCTGCCAGTCTTAACTTTCTGAAGAGGACCTAAAGACCTCATAGTTGTTGATTGATGAACCACAGTGGCTTTAACAGACATTTAGTATGTGACATATTAACTTTTATTATATTAAAAGAGGAACACCCGTTGATCCTACATGTTTTTACTGTTATGCACATTGTGATACATTGACTTAGAGAAGTTAACAGATAACATTCTCCTTAATTCAGTTTAACCTTTCAAATATAAAACATCCAGAATCAAATTTTTTCCCCTTATGCTCTAAAATCTATAAAAAAAATTCAAATAGCTTATTAGTTGGACTATCCTATTAAGCCTCCCTTTAATCCATTTAGCAAACAATTTCCCCTACTACAATTTTCTTTTAAACAGTAGTAGTATTAATGGTATTTTAGAGTGATGAGTGACACTGATTTAGTTTCTCCACTATGAATATCTCTGTTTTCTGACATTATTGCTTTGATTCGTCGTTCTTGGAACCAAGGGTAAAGTTAAGTATGCCTCTTTCAGCCAGCTGACTGACAGTGTGTAGCAACAAGTGGGAGAGGGGAAGTACTAAGTCACTCTGCTGCACACACTATCTGGTATTTTATTTAAAGGACTTTGAATGAGAGGAGTTATTTGAGTGAGAGGTTTGGGCCTTCATACCAGTAACTGGATAATGGATGGAAAGATTGAATCTCTCCATTTAAGATGTTTCACAATAAGACTTGTTACTATTTCCTTGATGCAAACAATTCTTCTTCAGTGTCATTCTTAACAAGACTGGAAAGTTGGGAAATATATATTTGTATTTCTTTGTTTAAAGTGCTAATTAACCTCAAAACCAGATTAATATCTATTTTCATGAACTCGGAAGTTCTATGTTTAGTTCAATGTTTTTGTTTCTCCGTAATTAGCAGATGAAAGGCATTTATTAAGATATTGCAGGGATTGCAGCCTCTGAAAGGGGTGTACCATTTTGACCACCTGAATTAGGCATTGTGCAGTTAGAAAGAGGTAATGCTGAGAAATGGGAGTGAGGCAAAGTGAAGATTTTTTCCTCAGTTTAGAAACTCACAACATCCATGTTCAGAGCATGACCTAAATCTTATAATAACTGTTTTTTTTCTGAATAAACTAGTACATTTAGCCCAAACTGAAGTAATTATCATATGCAAAAATTTATTAAAAGTCTTTTTAGCATAAGAATCCTTGTCAACAGGTATTGAGCTACAGATCAAAGTCTACAAGATCAAATTAGCTATCAGATCGTGGTAACAGACTTATAATGTTTAAGTGTTATATAGTATTTTGGTGGGTGTCCATATGTTTGACTATGTTTAACAGGGTAATTCATTGTTTTTTTTGTTTTTTTTTATTTCCTGGCATGAGAAGAAGTGCTACTTTTAAAGGGAAATCAGAAGGGTTGGGGTAAGCGTAAGTGTGCCCAGCTGTGTAACACGATCGGCACATATGGAATGTGTCTGGATCTCATTCCTGTTTGGAAAAAAAAAGTCTGACGGGAGGAAGTAAAACATACCTTTATGTAAATAAAGAAGCGTGACTGAGATGTGTATGTAGAGCTCTTATTTTGTGAGGCCAGGGAGTGTGTCAATGAAAAGAGGGAGAGAACTGTGGGATAAAATGTGTGGGAGTGAACCATTTATCACTCTGTCAGTTTTATTGAGGTCTTCTGCCGGGCAAAGAGAACTTGAAGTGACTAAAGGTTTGAGAGTCTCTCATTCAGTTTTAAAAATGGGTAAAGATGATTTACTATGAACCCATCTAGAAATATATTTTCAAGTCCCTCTTTCTTTGCATAGTCAGTATGTCTTTTGTTCCTGTTAAAAGCTAAAACTAAAAATCTGAGCACTAAATATGATCATACAACTGGGTGTTTCCGGGTTTTCCAGTTAGATAAGGTGGTAAGCTTTGTGCAAACAGGAACATGAGCCATAATGAGCAAATTAAACAGAGATATGCAAATTTGTCCCATGTGGCAGGCTGGTAGTCGCTGTGTGTGAGCAGAGCTGGCCTGATTCAGATTTATTGTGACACTGTGCTGGGTTGCATTATAAAGATGTTCTTCTTAATTATATAATCCCAGTTAAGCCACACAGTGACAATGAACTTCAGATGAGTTTATGAACAAGGTATAATATGAATTTGTCAAATAAGTGCAAAAAAAAATATCGGTTTAATTGTTTTATCTTCAGTTATGTGATTCCAGCTTATCAAACATCCCATTTTTGTGTTTATCTTTGGTGTATCATACAAAACAAAAAAGTTGTTATTGACACAGATGGACAGATTCTGTGGTTTTGATTTTGATTTTTCTCATTTGGCCAATTATAACTCCCTGATATAAGCATGCTAATAAATGGAATGAGCAAGAAAAGTAGTTGAAGCAAATAAGAAATAATTTAAATATTCTTTTTACATGATGCAGGTATTTGTATTTCTGACAAAAAATTCTATACCTTAACATTTAAGTTAAGAGATTTTGTCAAATTGCAACCACAATCTTCAGTTTTCTTTGAGTATTTTTCTGTGAAAAATAAATACAAACATTATCAGTAAACAGAAATGTTACCCTTTTTTTTTACTTTTTCTTAAATAAATAAAATCTGAATTCCTAATGTCTATATGTCTATATCCCCCTAAATAATTTGTTGCTCCCTTTCACAGCAGCAGATTTTGAAGGACAAATACCAATATCAGGGTCATTCATAAACCTGTTGGAGGCATTGGTGAAGGTAAAACTTCACCACAGCCTCAAATATTTTCTCAAAGCAATGCACTTTGGACCATCAGTGGTTCATTTCAGTTGAGTTAACTCACCAAAAGAAAAGGCTTAACAGATGTATTTAATCATGGGGAGCTGAACCCCTCCAGTGGCTCTCGGTGGTACTTCATTATCTTCTTTCACTTGTTCTTTCACTTTTAGATCGTTAGATCTCTCACAGTAGTAGTTTAAAAAATGACTAACCAAAGTCCTGTTCTCCCTTTCAGGGGTCTCTTCACTCCTTACCACCAGTGCCATTCCTGTGATCCGACCCAGATTCGGCCCAACGTACCAGGAAGAGAGGAACCGCTCTCTTCTTCTGGGACATCCTCAACAAGCTCCGCACTCTACTTTTATTCCAGCTCCATCTCAGAGTGGAAATCCCCCTACGAATGGCACACTTCTTCACTGGGGTGATTTGAGCCACACATTGGCTTTTGCATGGGAACTGCATGTCTACGGGACAGCAAGTCTCTTTCTGCTCCTGTTTGCTGGAGCTGCCCTCGGCCTGACTCTGTCCCCCGGAGCTAACTGTCCTCATCGTGGAGCTCTTGGTCTTGCGAATGCTCTGTTATTTCTGGCTGGAGGCCTTAGAGCAGCTCTGTTCTTTATTGACCCTTATGGTACGAGAGGTCTCCTCCCTCGCCCAGCAGTCACAGCCCTCTACAACCTGCCTCTTCACCTGCTGGTATGGGCTCAAGCTTCCCTGGTACTTCTTGCACTAAGGGTACCAGGAATCACTGTTTTACCTTCAACCTTAGAACAACCCCCGTTGGTTGCTGTGCTCACTGTGTTGCAGTGTACACTGCTGTTAGCTGCTGATCTGTTGTCTCCAGCTCTGTCTCCTGTAGTGCCCGTCACCCTACAGGTCCTGTCCTTATGTTGGGGCTTAGGGCTGTCTTTTGGCTATCTTTGCTACGTATTTCCACGTATACGTTGCCCTGCTCTTCCTCATCCCGGTGTTTCTGTAGAGGCTAGGAGGAAAACTTGGACCGGGAGCCAAAGAACAGGTGTGATTCTGGGAAAAGTGCTAGCCATCTGTGCAGTGCTTGGAGCATTGTGCTGTGGTTTGCATGTCCATGCTACCTTGTGGCTGTATGGACTGTTAGGAGACTGGAGACGCTTCAGCTGGGGTTGGTGGTTGGTGCATTTCTGTGCTCGGCTACTGGAACTGACGTGGGGCTTTTTTCTACTTCTTCTGGGTTCCTGGGTGTTCTGGAGACCTACGACATGCCGGGCAAGGGAGGAAGGAGGGCAAGATGGCCACACAGGGAACCTCCCATCTCCTGGTCAGTCGGAAGGCTCTCCTCAAAGGCATACCTGCTGGTCTAAAATAGTGCAGAGTCTGAGAGGAAAACCCTGCAGAAAGTCTGACAGTAATGGTGTTGGAGCAGGAGGAACAGGAGAGATGCCTAACAACTGGGCGGGACAAGAGCGACCTGGAGCTGATATCAGCAAGAGTCTTATTAGGAATCAGGACCATGAGCAGAACTCGGCACAGCTGCGCTCGATCAAAGACAGCAACCACGGACGTAACCACAGGGGCCACTCTGCAGAACGAGGTGTATCTGAAGACTCAACTGGCTCCCTGTTGAGACTGCAGACTTTGGGTCAGCCTCCACAGCGCTCTGTGAGTGGCAGTCTGGATCAGGACAGAGATACATCTCTGTCCTTCTATGAATTTGACCTGCGACCACCCTCCCCCATTAACCTAACTCGCAGCATCGATGAAGCTCTGCACAGAGAACACTTGCTCACAGGAGGGAGTCTGTTCCACCCTGTAATTCAGACTCCTTCTCCGGGCTCTGGGATCAGCCAGGAGCAGTGGCTTCGCAGAAACAGTGACCCTCAGCTGCTTTCTGAGAGCAGTGAAGCCCCAACAGAGTCCTCTATGCCTCTAGGGGGAAGTATTCTCAGCAGCGTACCCAGCAGGCAGGTGACTGCTCCCCCCACGCCATCCCATCAAGGTCACAGGTGGGGTGGGAACGCCATGGCTAGCGTTCCCTCATCGGTGTCCTGCCCGGTGTCGCTTCGTCCCTCCAGGACATCTACAGGGCATCTAGGTGCTGACGATGTGGACGACACGCGGCCGTTTATTACCCCAGACTCTGAAAGGGCAAGAGGGAGAGCAGGTAGACCTGTGGGTTCACGCAGTTACCTGGAGGTGAGCCGACATGACGACTCTGCAAGTTACAGCAGTGAAATTATAGACCTTTGAACCACATGATGGACATTAAGACCAATGACTGCACTTAAGATATTAGATCAGATATAGATCTTCAGATATAGATCTAATTATCATACCCCTTAACGTTGTTTTGGAAGGAGGAACTAGCATCACTGTAGGTTACTTGTGTTAACTTTTAACATAAAGTGAGACATTTTGGCACATTTATAAACTCCAGGTCACAACTGGTCACATTTCTGGGACTTTTTTTCAACTCTTGTATTTCCACTGCAAGAGCTGGTTTGTTTTTTCCTTGGTACCTAACATTAATGGAAATGGCTTAAAGAAATGGGTTAGCGAAACACTCACTTGCTTTGTTTGCTTCAGAAGACGAATCAATTCATTCTCTAACCAAAGCCATTTTTAGAGATTTAGACCTATATTGGAGATTTTACAGGGTTTCTCTTGTGAGGCACAAATTATATCTTGCACATTTCGTGTGTTTTTTGTTCTAAAATTGTGATGATTTTAGGTTTGATAGAAATAAGGCAGACTTCTGCTATTTAACTATTTGAAGTGTTTAAATATTAGAGTAGATCTAGAGTAGCCACTGTGAAATACTTCCAACTTATGGGTAAAGCGCATTGTAGTGGCAAGTTTGAAAACAAGAGGAAATGGTATTTGTTACGATGCTAATTCCCACTAGCAGAACATAGCAAAAACAATATATTTCTCTCTTTCAGATAAATCTAAACACAAAAGTAAATGTTTCTGAACCCGATATTTTAAAGCACTTATTTTAATGCTGGTCTAAAGACAAACAATAATCAGAATCTCTTAGTTTATACATTATACATACATTTTGACTAAACACAACCATAGTGGATTCTGGACTTTGGGTTAGCTCTTAGCTCTGTAGAAAATTCAGCTTTAGAGGATGCTCTTGTTTATTATGACTGCAACTGGGGAAATTCCAACTTCCAAGAACAACTTTGGCTTCTCTCTTCTGCTCTGATCCACATCTGAGTAAAGTCTGAGTAGGCAGGTTGTTACAGGCTGTGTCACAATTGCACATTTCATAAAGTTTGGAGCAGATGTATTCATTTAGAAATTGTAGGGATGGGGACAAAATCCTCAATAATATTTTTGTTGCTGAAAATCTGACCTATTTGTGTTCTTGTTTATTTTTTGTTTTATCCAAAACTCTTGACCAAACACTTTGTGGATGTAGCAGAGGTCAGTCACCATTAGTAATGAAATATGATAAGAAAATAGGTTACAATGTTCAACTCCCCATAAAGATTGTCACAAAGGTCCCATTTATGTCCATGAAATAATTTTTACAGCATAACATTGGTTGTAAATTTTTTTTAGACTTTCTACTGTTTGCTTATGTCATGTAAAAATGTGCCATACATAACCATTACTGCTTCCTATGCTGTTGCTTCTCTAGGGTCGTAGCATTTGTATCATGATGACTCAACAGCAGATTAGAATACGTCTAAGCTCTTATCTTGCTGTTGCTGTTGTACTTGTTTGTTTTGTCTCGTAAGTTAAAGCTGGTTGCATAAAGATGCAGACAGTCACCGGAAACCAGAGATGGCTCACATGCTACTTTGGGTATATGGTGTTATTCCCTAATTAAACTTCCCCTGTGATCTCAGTGCATTTAATTATCTTATACTGCTGCAGAGCAATGCTTGTGGGATCAATAACATTTTTCAATGCCTAAGAGTGCATTTTTTGCAGAATCTGAATCAGATTTTTTAAAGAAATAGTTTAAAAATAATTGAATTATTTGATAATATGCTGCACAGCTTTGCAAGGCTGCAACACACATGACTGGCATGGCTTGAAGAACACCTATATTAGACCTAAGTCAGCAACAAAGCACTTATCTGTATATACTGAAGTATTATACAACTATAGTGTAAAGAAACAATGTCAAGTTATAATGTACAGATTGTCCTTTCTGTTGTTCATGAATAAAGTTGTGTTTGAGACCTAATCATGTTACTATGAGGGACATTCTAAAGCTGTATTGCTAAAAGCTCAGGTTGGAATCTTTGAGATCTGTCGGCTAAACTCAATTTCTATCAGAAATTGAGTTTATAGGTGATCAGCAATGCAGTTTTTAGTCTTAAGTCTTCTTTGAAACTTAAAATTTAACTTTAAGTAAAAAAAAAAAAAAAACAATAAAAAGAAGCTATTTTATTTTCTAATAATTTAAAGAAGTTATAGAAGTGCCCGTTTTGGACTTTTTTTTAAACCCCCAAACTGACTGATAGCTGAAATTTTTCAAATGATTTGGTGCCTTCGGCTGTACTGCAAAATAGGTGAAAAATGTCAACAATAAAAAAACACCCACTTTGGCAACTTTCTTACAGTATAATAACTGTAAATCAAGGTTTTTAAAAAATTCAATAAGTCAATAAACGCCTAGCTTTTCAAATTATATCTAATTTTAATTCAACTATTTAAAAAGGACTGCATATAATAATAAAGTTTGTTCTTTGACTGAAAGCGTTCATCTGGTGTTGAACCTCAAGACAATTTGGGGTATAAAGAAAGCCAGATTAAGAAAAATAAGCTTACTCTTTATTTTTGGCTTTGTTTTGTCAATATGTCTTCAAAAGTGTACATCTATTAAGTGTTCTAATAAAAGTTTGTGGAAAAATACTTTTAAAGACAGGATTTTCCCTACATGCATTCATCTGAGTGTTGGAAACTCATTTTAAAGGGTAAAAAAAAGCTTGATTTATAACTTTAAACATGAGTTAAAAAAGGATTCCAACCTGAGTGTGGATGCAGCTCATGAGCTGTGCTGATGACGAGGAGAAAGTTGTGAGGTAAACTTGGCTGAACTGAGATATTTAAAGGACCTCCTGAGCCCTGCATTGTTATGTTAGGGAAGGTTTTAAAATATACATGTCTATAAATAATGATAAAAATCTGTTGGATTTAGGTTCTTTCTATGTTTTTGGTATTAAAAAACTTGTTTGTTGAGCCATGTGCAGTCTGTTATTTCATATTAAAATGTTTCTGTTTAGTCACTGCATTTTGAATATGTACATTGTTAGAAAAAATACTGATTTTAATGAAATAAGAAAAATATTTGTCATAAAATCTAGTTACTGATGCCTTTTTTCCTCCGTAAAACTAGTTTCCTGGTTACTTTTGACCTGCAGAACCTCCCACTGATGTGAGATGTTTTTTGAGTTTTTTTGTTTACAGCTTTTTGTTGCTGTTGACATTCCAGTGAGCCGGTCTTATTTCACTGTATAAGAACTTATTTTACTATTGGCCTCCTCCTCCCTCAGGGTTGTCCCATGAAGCAGTATGTGCCATAGAAAATAACTGTCATGTATCCTGTTTACTTTGCTCATGAATTTTTTTTTCTTCCTGTATTATCTGCTGCTTTTCATATCTGGAGTTAAATAAAAACAAAGCATCTTCAAATGGGTATGATTGTTTTTATTTGTGTTCAGACATTTATTTTGCAGTGTAGATTAGCTATAGAACCATGCGAAAGAGAAGATCGGTATTTTTCATCTTCCTCTCATAGTCCTCATTAAACTCTTCATCCTGTTTAACAGTGAAGTGATTCTTCCAGTCACCAACCTTTCCTGAAAAGGAAGAAACAGCAAAATGATAACAGCATGATATTACAATTTTCAGATTTATTGATTACTTTTTCCCCTGCATACACCGGATCTCAAAAATGTATACTCCTAGACATTTTCATAATTACACATGTAACTATGATAATGTCATAATTATTTCCACCTTAGATGGATGATAAACCCTGTATATTTTAACTTAAAAAAAAGTAATACTTTAAGAATTAGTTTGCTGCAAAACCTTCTGATTGATTTTTAGTATACAGTTTTTTTTTCCAGTTTACACTCGCCATCAATACAAATTACTGTAATTACAAAGTTTGCCTGTTCTAATGAGACAAGCTCACATTTGTATGCTTTGGCTAAAGCCCTAGCTTACAGATGTGACAACAATCTTGTTTATTCCCAGGAACTTTGAACTGAATCTCCTAAAATCAATTTGGATGAACATGTTACATTCTGATATATCAAAACTGATCAAAGAAATTATTTGTGAAAATCAAAAAATTCTGCATCCCTTAATGAACACCATTGAAATCATGCAGCATTCCAATTGCCATGCACCCAGTATCATTGAGAACAATTTATTGCATTAAAAACTGGAGATTTTAGTATTTCAAAATCCACTTTTGGAAAAGCTTTTGAGACTGGTAGGAACATAGATCTGACCTTTGCGCATGAAAGGGGAGATCTTAAAATCAAAGACTTCATCCACCGAGCCATTGGCCATTTTGTCGTGCTTCATGTTGTTGAAGTTAGACTTTTCTGTTACTTCTTTCTTCAGGTCTGCGCAGGGAGATAGTTCCAGGAAGGAGCAAAGCCGGCTGATTTCTTGTTCAGTATCCTACCAAAGAATGTCACTCCAACGCTGTGCTTGTATATACATTCTGAAAAAATGAGGCCTAACCACCCACCTCGATTAGATCCTCATAGAACAAATACAGGATATTAGAAGAGGTCTTTCTCTTCTCCCACCAGCCTTCCACATGGTCATACCAGGAACCAAACACCACTGAAAGGTGAAAGAGAGTCGAATCAAAAGCAGCAAAGTTATATTTATATTTCCAGTTATTCTTTAGTTTGTTAACTTACTTTTGCCATCCATGAATCTCTGCAGGTAACTGCCCCAATCACCAGGCTCTGGTTGGGCTTTATTCATGCGATCAAAATGAAAGTATGAAACAGCTGAATCCTTTGCATTGCGAGCTACATAGATTATCTGTAGTTAAAAAAAAGAAATACAGGGAATAAAGACTGTTGCTGTATACAGGGGTGTGTTGAACAAACATAGCATCTTTTGTAGTGGCATATAGATATTCAACCTTTAATATGTCTACATTTGATAAGTGGAGAAAAATCAAACTCTAACATTAAAGTATGAAAATGACAATAATTTTTCTACAAAGTAAATTTACTATGTCTGTTTAAAGATAGCATAGAGAACCATCTCTGCTTGCCACTCTTCAAAATGTGAAGGTTTGTCGCAGGTTTAGCCTGCCACCCTGCACTGCAGGAAGGCAGGCCTCCACAGCTCTCTGTTGAAGAACAAGAACAGTCTGTGGCATCTTATGGTCTTCATGTAAACAATTTTTAAATGCTGTGCAAGAGCCAACAGGATGTTTGGCAAGCATCCTAGAAAAAAACACTTTCTTTTCTGCTATTACAGATGTATATTAGCAATAACTGGAATTATTTAGAGGCACCATTCCTATTAAATAGGAATGGTGAGCTTGGTGATCTTGGCACTGATGACTTTGGGCTCTTGGACCTCTGAACCTGCACATTCCTGTTCTGATCCGTTTTCCTGACCTGGCTTTGGAGTCCTGGACCTCTGAGCCAGCTTGTTTATGTTCTGATCTCTACCTGACCTGGCTTCGGACTCCTGCATGTTCTGCAGGCCTGCAGTATCTGGGATATGTGCCCACCGCATCTCATTGGCAGCCTACCGGCTGGATCCTACCTCCTGCTTTGGCTATGGACTGAACTTGTAAACCAGGTTAGTGACTCACATTCATAATCTTCCTCCATTAGATATACGTGGTCACTAACCTGCGTTTTTCTCCTGCCGAGTTTCCTGCCTCAGCCGCCTTAGCAATAGCTACTCCAATCCGCCTGTTTATTTTGATAAACGCTTTTGAGTAATCCCACTGTTCCACTGTCTGAGTCTTGACAGTGCTTTGTTTAGATTAACGTTCTTATTGACATTTGAGCAACAAGCAGTCCAAAGTTGTCATGGTACTATAGATAAATAGTTGGAAAAACATCTAATGCTCAATTTGAAGTATGCTTGAATCAGTGGCAGTGATATTATCTTCTCTCTACTCCCCTTTAATCAATTAAATGAGAAAATTAGATGGGCTAGGTTAAAATACTGTGCTGCACCTCACAGGACCAGGCAGGGAAACATCAGGGACGCTACCCTGTACTTGTTTTCACCAGAAACAGTTGAAAATATGTTAAGGACACACCTGGCAATATTTGTTTTCCTATTGGTCGTTATTGGGGTCGCCCATTTTAATGTCATCCTGGGAAACCCAGAAATTCACATAAGAAAGCCCAACTGGGTGGAGAACATGTAATGTTGGCTGCTTATTTATTTTTTTTTATCCCATGGTATTATCTTACATTTTGGACCTTTTGTTTCTGTTTAAGTTTTTATTTTGTGGGTATTCTGTGTTGTCTAGATTTAGATAATTTTTTTTATTATTCTTAGTTTTTCTCTCCTGGTTATCTCTTATCTTCAACATTTTTGGTATTATTTATTACTTGGTCTAGTTTTAATTATATTTATTCTTTTTCTTATCTTTAGGTTAGGTTTTCCATGGTTTCAGTAATCTCCAGTCCCTTCCGTATCCTCTAGTTTTTCCCTTGGTCATACCTTATTTTTTAGTCATTAGTTTTATGCTGTTGTTTCTGGTTATTCTATGTTGCCCCCTAGTGTCCTTTCCTTTTCTCCTTAGCTCCTTCTAGTTACTCTGTCTACACCTGCTTGTTGATCAGTTCTGGACTATGGATTTTGTAATTGTTGTAATCTCTACCTCTTCTACTCTACATTTTGGTCTACTACAACATACACCAACATACACCAACCCTGACACCACAAGCATAGGAAATTCTTCATACATGCAGCATGAACTCCTTAAAATACTCTAAATTGTTGAATTATATCATATATAAATCCAAAGTACCCTAATCAGTATTATATCTTAGTACCCAGTAGTACACAGTAAGTCATAAAGAAAAGCTTTGGGTGTGCCTAAGTGAAGAGAGCACTGGAGGACCATGGACTTTGGACAATCTGGGAGCGATTGTGCAAAATGGACGAAAATCCTTCTTCCTGTTGGCTATAACTTTGCAAAATATTAAAGGAGAAGACTAGGTGTTGTCCCATTTTTTACATAAAAGATATCTCTCATAGTGGGTTTTTTACATATTGTCACCAAAGGATGCAATAAAATATAGAGGGATTTTTATCTGCAAAACAACAAACCTTGGATTTTTGTTCCCAGAAGGATTGGGGAAGAAACTGGACTGGCAAGTGCGTCTTGATAATGCGTGGAAAAATGTTTAATGAATTCAGCTCATCCACTCCTGGTACAAAAACAAAAAATAAAACATTTTCTATTGAAAATTTCAGAATTTAAAGTCACCTTTTTAGATAAATTTACCAGAGGGGAATCCAGGTATGCTGATCTCCAGAAACGGCACTCTTTCATGAAGTGGAACAGAGTTTTGTCGGTTAGGTGATGTCTTGCCAAAGTACAAGAGGTCCAAGATGTAAGAGACCCATGTGTTTCCTTAGAAGTACAAAATAAATAAATTTATATCATAAACTGTAGCAAATTTCAACTCCAATGGTGTATTGAAACACCCACCTGCTTTTGGATAGCTCACCAGCACAATATCATCTGGCCTCGCTTTAAAGCTCTGTATGTTAACCCAGTTATCAGTGAAGTATTTGGTCATGGAGACTCCATGGAAGTCAAACAAAGTAGGTCGTGGTGGCAACTCCATCTGCTGGGTGTTTAATTTAACTTTTCAGGTAAGGCTAAACATTTTCTGCACATAAAACAAATCAAACCACAGCTGAAAGAATCTGACCTGAAAAACGGTAGAGAAAATCTTGTAAGACACCTAAATTAATAAAAATGAATCAACCAAATAAACAGGAAAAAAGTGCACTGCCAGAGCAAGGCAGGTATTTAAATTAGCCTGTTTTTAAGTTTTTTACAACCCATAAAATATTATACCCGGATTAGAGCTGGAGGTGCAAGCGCTTTCTGTTTCTTAATATCCTAATATTTAAAAAATGCCATAAATGTCCCCTCAATGTGTGTGCAGATAATGTCCTTACTAGTGAAAAAAAACAGCAAAATGAAACTGCCGCCTTGTTACTGCTCTGAAAGAAAAAAAAGCCTGTTGACTAACTCTTCTATACCTTAATGCAATTTGAAGGTATAGAAGTGCTCATTTTCATGCCTGCTTATCATACTTCTATAAAAATAAGTTGAAAGAGAAATTGACTGAAAAAGAACTCTTCCAGATTAACCACAATTCAAAAAAACTTAAGATATGGTCATCAGAAGAGAAAATAGAAGATAATAAAAATAAAGAAGAGTAAAGTATAAAAAAAAAAAAAATCTTGTCTCTATTATTAGTAGTTAGATTGACATGCAGGGACCCATGAAAAGCCATTAAAAGGCATGATAAACCATGCACACTTGACATACAAATACAAATACAATCTACTAAAAAAGTGTAACTTTAATCATCTTATAGTATGTTATATATATATATATATATATATATATATATATATATATATATATATATATATATATATATATATATATATATACAGCTTCTGAACAGTTCAAAAGAAAAATGTTTAATAAGGAACAGTGCATTAGCTTACCTGAATGATTGCCTATCTGCGTGTGGCTAACATAAACAGTGCAAAGTCAGCTTCTTATCTAAGCCCCATCCTTTTTCATTTGTTATCTCACTGTTTAAAGGTATGTTTCTCTGGGGCATATTTTTACAGACCATAAAAATGTCCAGCAAAACACAGTTTTGACAAAAGTATGTGTTTGTTTTTCATTGTTTTTGTTCCGGGCTACATGAACTATGTAATAACCAATTAACTACATTACATTTAATAAAATATTATCCAACCAAATGTTTTATCTGTTTTATCAACCTCCTTGAATTTTCTTTGGGAATTGGCTTGAGCACATTCCAATGGATCTCTCTTTTTTTTTTTTTTTTTTTTTTTTTTTTTTTTACAGAGATAGCTGTTTGACCATGAATATCAGCTTGTTTCACACTTCACACTCATTTCACACTCATTTGAAGTCCCAACACAGCAAGTTGGACAGAACAACACATTTTTATTAAAATAAATAACATATTTGCAGCAGTACCAGGTTGGACAATGAATATGATGTAATTGCAATGCACAAAACATAAATGTCAAGTACTCATAATAGTAAACAGATTAGACTCTTATGGTTTTAGATCCTTGTGTAAAAAGGTCTCAAGTTGATCGTCTGAGATTTTTGGGTCAAAGGACAAGCGGTGCGAAACAGCTGAAATTCTCTCTTTCACATCCATTCTTACCCTGTTCCAGATCATTACAATATCATGCCTTGTGTCTGAGTGGACTCATCTCTCTAATAAATTTCCGGCTTTCAGCAAACAGGCAATCATAAGCAGACCACCTTCTTAAAAAAAGTGTTCTGCTCAAGGGCCAATGTGGTGAAGCTCCATTGAAAAGTTGTTAGATCTTTACCAGAAAAATCTGTGTCTTCCAGAAACATCAAGTCCATAATCACTGCAGAACAAGTTGGCATCCTCAAATAAAACATTGCACCTATTTAAAAAGAGTGACACAATCTGTAGCTGAACTGATGAGAATCTCAGCCTGCAGAAGTCTGCAGGTGTTTGGGCTTTGAGTATTCTCTTATCTTCAGTTTATGTTCTACCAGTTTTTTTTTTTTTTTTCTGTTAGCTTCTTAAGTTTACTTTTGTGTTCTGTTCTTTGTACATTTGGATTTTATTTTTATCTTAGATCTGGGATTACCCCATGGGTTGTCTTTCTATCTCTGCTTCTTAAGTTTCCTTTTGGTTTATGTGTCATTTCTCCACATCTGCCCCAGTAGTTTCTCCCAGATTCTTTTGTCTTTTTATTATGTTTTATTAAAGAACACTGTTTTTTCAGTTTAGCCTCTGTACTCAGGGCCCTCCTACAAACCAAGACATGACAGTTAAGCCTCTCTTTGTAAAAACAGTAGTAATTATTCGTCTTATTATTATGATATCTACTTCACATTAGGGGACATTGAAAGGCATGTTATTCCACATTTTAAATGGTTTACATTCGTCACACAGCAATGTTTTCCACTGGTTAATTGTGTTTCATGTCTTTTAAACAACCTCTTCTGGACAAACATTATCCCTTCCAGGCCTGGACAGTCGACAGTCATTAAATGAAGAGATCAGTTCTTCACAGGGTCAAACTAGAGACAATCAGTTGAGATAACCATGCCTTTCATACAATGGAGCTATTTACAGTATTTAAAAAGCCCTCATGTTTTTTTAGAATGTAAAAGTAAACCAAAGCATATACATAAAAAAATGTCCAAACTACACAGAAATGTCACAGGTGAGATTTGATCCTTTGATTTTCTTCCAGTTGAGATGTTTTGTGACATAACACAGGATCCTTATATTTCAGTTCGAAAGAACAGAGCAGTGTTCTTCATTTTGTTCTTGTAGTCTTCGTCAAACTGTTCATTCTGGGATACGGTGAAATGGTTCTTCCAGTCTCCTACAGTTCCTGTAAATAATAAAGGATTAAATCAATCATAAATTCAGCTGAAGCTAATCAAATTGGATTGGACTTTTTCTGTAAATCCTTTCACAAACCTTTCCTCATGAAAGGACATACACTGTGGTTCATCGTTGGGACAGTGGAGTAGTTGGTTATTTTGTTTTCTTTCATAGTTTCAAATGTCACCTTAGATCTGACATGTTCCCTCTGCTGAGCTGTCGGAGACAAGCCCAGAAACGAGCACAGTCTGTTGATTTCTTTTCTGGAGTCCTATGAATTATTAAAAAACAATTATGCAGACTACTACATGTTAATAAAAATAAGAAATTGAAGCCAAGGTACAGTTAGAGAAAAAGAGAAAAACAATACAGAGATGGTAAATTTGGGTATTGATTTAGGAAGCAGAATTTTTTTGTAATTTAATATGATAGTTAAAAATTAAGAAAAATAAATGGTTGTCTTTGCATGCTCTGAAATATATGTTGAGATCAAAAATCAGTGCAGTGCATTACAGACGGAAAAATCTTACAAGCACATATTAGTGCAGTGATTTAAGGGATGAAATATTTTAATGTAGGTAGAAAAGCTGTGTGTTGGATTTTTTTGTTTTTTGTTTTCCCCTGGTTCTGGCTGGATATGATTCATGCGTCCAAAATGAAAATAGGAAACTGCACTGTCTTTTGCATTACGTGCCACATATACAATCTGGTAAAGCAAGACAAACAAATTAGCTTTATCTCTGTTTTTTTTTTTTTTTTTTTTTTTTTACAAATGATGTACATATAGTGCAAGAGTGGGTGTTTTACCCTACTGCGCTGCTCCCAGAAGGATTTAGGCACAAACTGAACTGGTAGGTGTGTTTTAATGAGACGTGGAGAAGTAGGGAGCTGGTCTGCCAAATCTTTACCTTTATATGGAGTAGGAGATGTTTCAGCTAATTATGTGCATAATCAGATATGTTTAGATTCTGCAGTTCACAACGGCTTATTTAAAAAATAAAACTGAGTCTTTAAACAATTTGTTGGACAGACAGATCAAAACAAAGATTCAACTTAATTAATACACTAAATTATTAAAAATTGGAAGTACAAAGTGTTAATATGTATTAATTTGCTAAAGAAACAGTGAATCCTTCTTTAAAGCTCTTATTAAAATAATAGGTGACTAAAATCAGACCACTTGCTGTGACCAGTGCTTTACAAACAATAATCCATATATAAATATAAAGAACCAATGAAAAACAAAGAAACAAACAAACTAATAGTTTTATAATGCAGTTTCTGGAGAGAAATAAATTATGAAACCGAATGTAGCCTTTCACGTTAGGTTTGCATTATTAAACCTTTTTACTCCCCTTTCAGATTGACAATCATATTTCTAAGCCAGACATATTTCACTTGGTGTGCTCATTAATTAAGTAATTAAACAGAGGGTTGAGACTTAATAATTCCCTACATCCTTAGAATTTGTGAGCTGGGTAAGGGACTTAAAGAGGCCTCAGAAGAATATGAAATCCCTCCTAAAGAAGTCATTGTAACTTGCACAGAGATTTTCCACTATACGCTCCTTCCTCATGCAACAGGGAGTTGAACTCAGGTCCTCTGTATTAAAGATTTCCCTCATAAAAACAAGTAAGGCAATTAAACTGATCCTACATGCAGCAAAGCTCTTCAATATCCCACAAAGTGAGGAGTGGGGACTTTTTACTTACGGTAGTCTATATCAGAGGCTTGCTGTGGGGTACAAGCAGTACATCAGTAAATAACATTGCATAATATTTCAGATGCTAACTATTTAGTTAATTGACCTTGAAAATAAACACTGTCCTCCACAAATATTGTTACATAGTGAAGCTATGTACATGGTCTTAAAATAAGATAATTTTTCATTACTGATGGATTAAATCACCAAAAAAAATCATCAGTTGAAGTACATTTATTCCTATATATTCCTCTTATTTTCCAGGTACCCTTTACATTTTAACCTTAAAATAGAAATTGTTTTTGAGATTTATAATGTTGAGTTATGGGGAAATTTCATATCAATTTATAATTTGAATTCGTATAATGTGTACACTGCTGTATCATTTCACTTAAGATCTAGTATCTCACAGGTTTTATATACCGTATATCCTTTTTCTTACACTACCTGACCTATGGTTTAAGCTTTTATTTAACTTACGGTATACAGCGCAGGTGGAAAGTAAAGAGGGGATATTGTAGTTGACTCAATGTGGTTGCCACAGCAAGGAACTCTTCTCGTTTAACAAAACATTCAGCTTATTTTAGCTTCTTGCCTTTTAATAAACAATGGATGTGTGTGGAGCTTCAAAGCTCAGGAAATCCTAGGAATAGCTACTGGCCTAATATTGTCTATATCAACGGTCATGCGAATAACTGAAAGATTAAAAAGAAGCTGCAAAGGTGAGCCGTTGTGGCAGGATGATAAAATCTAAAAAAAAACTTTTAAAGGCCAGTGTTACTGAGTGGCAAGGCCTGAAGCACTTAACCTGTGGGTCGATGAGGTACACAGATCTCCAGGAAAGGAATTTTCTCATGCAGAGGAACAGAAGAACGAGAGTTGGAAACTGTGTCCCCAAAGTAGAGAAGATCCAGGATGTAAGAAACCCAGGTGGTTCCTGCAATAGAAACACGAGCTCAGTTAACAAAGTTAAATCGGGGTAAAGGTTCTGTGTATCTGAGCTCACCTGCTTTAGGGTAAGTTGCTATTAGAATATCATCCGGCCTCGCCTCAAAGCTCTGAATATTGTCCCAGTTGTCTGTGAAGTATCTGGTCATGGAGACGCCATGGAAGTCAAACAGAGTTGGTCGAGGAGGTAATTCCATCTGTGAGGTCAGTAAAGCTTTATTTTTTGCTCATTGCATTTTAAGTCAATAATAACTAAGCCACATGTAATTCAAGATGCATCATAAATGAATAAGAAAACTCAAAAATGAAAACATTTCAACATTTATAGACATCTCAAACTATGGTATAAAAATGTCAAATATCAAGATTAGACAATGATTGTCTGAACAAAAAGACAGATTTAATTATATTGAGTGTTAATTTAGAAAAAAAAAAACTTTACCGACCAATCTGATCTTTGTAAAAAAAAGTCACATAATTCTCCAGATTAATAGTGCCATCTGAAGCAGCAATGTTTATCATTGAACTCTGACCTTAACTAAGGAAGCAAAGCAGCATCTACTGAAGGTGTTCTGGCTTGTTTTTGACTTCCAAAATAATGTGTATTAATATTGGCAGCCACATCTGAGAATGTTCTTCACTGCTCTATGTTTTATCCAGTCAGAGATTAAATAGCTCTCTGTAGTTGTCTGGAGGTCAAAGTCCGTATGTCTCTCTGTCTCAAAGCTTTTTATGAACAGGTGTGTGATAACTATAAATATTCTGCTGTGTAAAGTCTAAAGTCTAAGTAATAAAATCTAAACGGAGAAACATTATGAACACGAAAACTTGATGAAACACACCTGCTCTGTCTTTCTGATCATATCATATTACATTCCTTACTGGTAATGCTTGACTAACTCAGCCAGTCTCCATTTAGTAACTAAATGTGTGCCTGCACCTTGTAGCTGTTTATCTCTGTAAGGAAAACATGGGGGATCTATCATACAGTCATTCAATGTTCAGGTTCATTAGATATAAAAAAAAAAATTCTACCCCATAAAATGACATTTTAAGGGGTAGAAAATAACAAAATTACATTTTTACCATAAAGGAAAAGAAAGCGACACTCACCTGGTCAGAACCGCAATCTCTCCCAGTATAATCGGGGTGAGAATCTTCCAAAGTAAAGAAATCAGCTTATTGTGCAATTCTGTGGTGCAACATCTTTCACAACTTCCTTTCGCCTTTTACAGCTGCTTTTTGTGTCTCTGCTTGTGTCTCCTTGAAGCCCAGTCGGCCTCGGCAGATGGCCGCTCACACTGAGCCTGGTTCTGCTGGAGGTTTCTTCCTGTTAAAAGGGAGTTTTTCCTCTCCACTGTCGCTACAAGCATGCTTAATGTAAAGGATTGTATTTGAGTCAATGAGTCAATGCAATCAACTGGTTTTCCTTAGATAGAAAACTTTATTTCAATTTGACTGTATGATCTGGTTGAACTGTAAAGTGCCTTGAGATGACGTGTTGTGAATTTGGCGCTATATAAATAAACTGAATTGAATTGAATTGAACTTCCTCATTTTTATTGAGGCGTTTATTGTGTTCATTTAAATTTGTGAGCTATGGCTGGACATTAAAGGCAGATTTGATTTTCTTGCTCTAGCAACACGTCTGTGTGATCCTTGAGACTCTAAGTTTTTTTTTTTGTCTTTGCTTTTTTATTTTGGTTATATTTTTTCTTCTTTGCCTAAATTACTTCCTGTTCTTTCATAACTCGTTTTTTTCCTGCGCTTCATTGAATTTTCTTTTTTTGACTGAATATAGTTATGGCTTTCTAGTGTGTATCCATCTTTCTAAATATAGTTTCTCCAGCTACCTCCTTCTGCCACAGCAGTATCAAAGCCTTTCAATGGTTTCATTTCAAATGGGATTGGCTCAATGTAAAAGAGGAAATAATGACACTGACATTCAAAACACTTCAAACTACAGCCCCACCTATTCATGCACTGGTACAAAGATCAGTTATGCATTAACATTTGCATGCAAATTCAAAAAAACAACAACCTCTCACTAACAGCCACCGATTTGAATTATCTTACCTCCGGTTGTGTAGGATTTATTTCCTGTGGATTTTTATGCTGAAATTGAGCAAAACACTAAATCACTAAATAAAGATTTTTTCATTGTTATTATAAGCAGTTCAGGTGCAACAGGAACCACAGTACTGAGCGTTGTGTGCACTGCACAAAGTATACCTGTTGCAAATGTAGGAAGGACTCACCTTGGGTTTGTGGAAACTGCTAAATATGGGACAATTGTAGCTTCATATATTGTGCTTTTTGTTGGGTGAAATAATGCTACTCCAATACTGAAGTCATACTGTTTGTCATTTTCTAAGTTAAAATGTTGAATGACATGAAAAGGCGAGACAGGACAAAATACAATTATTCTCTAAGTTGTTCTTTCACATAGTGAACTTTGCAATATAAATGAGTCTGTTGGTGAATGGACAGTATAAATAGGCTATGCCTTGCCTTGTTGGAAAAGCATGGTTATGACCTGTTCTCAGCTCAGGAAATAGGACCCGTATATTATCTGGTTGTTAAAATGTTTTCCTAAATAAAAAAATTAGATATGACTTATCAAGTTATTCCTGCAAAAAGTTCTGATGTTGCAGGGGCAGGTAATAAGTGCTTGGATTATGCTCTTGTTCTGATGCCAGTTTGTTTCAGCCTTCATCCAGTCTCATGTAGAAGGGCTAGTCATATCATAGGTTATTTGCATTACAATAGGGACATTTAGGTAGGTACAGGTGCTGGTCATAAAATTAGAATATCATGAAAAAGTAGATTGATTTCAGTAATTCCATTTAAAAAGTGAAACTTGTATATTATATTCATACATTACATACAAACTCATATATTTCAGATGTTTATTTTGTTTAATTTTGATGATTACAAATTACAACAAATGAAAATCTCAAATTCATCATATCAGAAAATTAGAATATTACTGAAGACCAATAAAAACAAAGGATTTATAGAAATGTTGGCCAACTGAAAAGTATGAACATGAAAAGTATGAGCATGTACAGCACTCAGTATTTAGTTGGGCCTCCTTTGGCCTGTATTACTGCAGCAATGCGGCGTGGCATGGAGTCGATCAGTCTGTGGCACTGCTCAGGTGTTATGATAGCCCAGGTTGCTCTAATAGTGGCTTTTAGCTCTTCTGAATTGTTGGGTCTGGTGTATTGCATCTTCTTCTTCACAATACCCCATAGATTTTCTATGGGGTTAAGGTCAGGAGAGTTTGCTGGCCAATTAAGAACAGGGATACCATGGTCCTTCAACCAGGTACTGGTAGCTTTGGCACTGTGTGCAGGTGCCAAGTCCTGTTGGAAAATGAAATCTGCATCTCCAAAAAGTTGGTCAGCTGCAGGAAGCATGAAGTGCTCTAAAACTTCCTGGTATGTGGCTGCGTTGACCCTGGACCTCAGAAAACACAATGGACCAACACCAGCAGATGACATGGCACCCCAAACCATCACTGACTGTGGAAACTTTACACTGGACTTCAAGCAACGTGGATGAAGTGCCTCTCTTCTTTTCCTCCAGACTCTGGGACCTTGATTTCCAAAGGAAATGCAAAATTTACTTTCATCAGAGAACATGACTTTGGACCACTCACCAGCAGTCCAGTCCTGTTTCTCTTTAGCCCAGGCAAGACGCTTCTGACGCTGTCTGTGGTTCAAGAGTGGCTTGACACAAGGAATGCGACAGCAGAAACCCATGTCTTTCATACGTCTGTGTGTGGTGGTTCTTGAAGCACTCACTCCAGCTGCAGTCCACTCTTTGTGAATCTCCCCCACATTTTTGAATGGGTTTTGTTTCACAATCCTCTCCAGGGTGCGGTTATCTCTCTTGCTTGTACACTTTTTTCGACCACATCTTTTCCTTCCCTTCGCCTCTCTATTAATGTGCTTGGACACTGAGCTCTGTGAACAGCCAGCCTCTTTAGCGATGACCTTTTGTGTCTTGCCCTCCATGTGCAAGGTGTCGATGGTCGTCTTTTGGACAACTGTCAAGTCAGCAGTCTTCCCCATGATTGTGTAGCCTATAGAACTAGACTGAAAGACCATTTAAAGGCTTTTGCAGGTGGTTTGAGTTAATTAGCTGATTAGAGTGTGGCACCAGGGGCCATCAATTTTGAACCTTTTCACAATATTCTAATTTTCTGATATGATGAATTTGAGATTTTCATTTGTTGTCATTTGTAATCATCAAAATTAAACAAAATAAACATCTGAAATATATGAGTTTGTATGTAATGTATGAATATAATATACAAGTTTCACTTTTTAAATGGAATTACTGAAATCAATCTACTTTTTCATGATATTCTAATTTTATGACCAGCACCTGTAGAGTGAATACACAAACTTGAAGAGGGGAGGGGGACTTGCAGGAAAACTGAAATTCTCTGGGACTTTTAGTGTTAAAAGCTGTCATACAAGCAGCAGAAAGGAGGCTTCTCCCTCTTACCTCCTCAGAACCCCATTTGGTTTGGTTTGTATTCTATGGTTGGGTTCTGTTAGGTTTGTTTGTATTTGCTTACTTCTGTTTAGTTATTGGTTTGCATTAAGCCATTTTCTACTCCCCATTTTATTTATCCCTTTTTCAGGTTTTGTTTCTTTAGTATAATTTAATAAATTAAATTTTAATTTTAAAGAAAATCCTTGTGTGGTCTTCTTTAATGTTACCCCCATCAAACAAGCCTGGTGGACGTAACAAAAACAAAAATCTTATAAACAATGCACTTGTGTAAGTTTTGACGAAATAATACTTTTGTCAGTGAATAATAATAGATCTTTTATTACAATTCTCCAGGGTTAGTAAATAGTAACTACATCACTGGTGTTACATGTCGTTTTTTCAACTCAACACAACATTAGCACCTGTCCTTTTTTCTCACATTTTGGGCTACAGCATTTTAGTCTAAATGTATAACTCATTTATTCAGTGCGGTCCTCTTTGTCATTTCTCCTGCTCAGAATTCAAAGCGAAACTGCAGTGGGCTGTCCTTCATCTTTCTCTTGTAGTCTTCATCAAATGCTTCATTTTGAGCCACAGTAAAGTAATTTTTCCAGTCCCCAACTTTTCCTGTAGAAGGGCAGACATAGGTTGGTTGCACTCATGTTTGGAAAATATTTTCAATCTTTAATATGTAATTATTTATCAGACCTTTTCTCATGAAGGGAGAAACCTTAAAATCCATAATTGGCAGTGTGGAATAGTTGGTCATCTTGTTCTTTTTCATGTTGTCAAACTGCACTCCACTCCTGACCATTTCCTTCACCTCGGCAGATGGAGATAAGCCAATAAAGTCGCAGAGTTTGTCAATTTCACGTCCAGTGTCCTGTAAACATGATCAGAAATGTCCTTTGTTTCAAAAACACTTCGCCGTGTGTAAATAAGGAGAATGTGAGCAGGATTAAAACCTTAATTACCTCGATCATATCTTCATAGAACATGTAGTGGATTTTTGAGTAGGTTTGTTTCTTCTTCCACCAACCATTTACATGCTCGTACCAGGAGCCAAACACCACTGGGATAATGGCAAAACAGGGAGGGCTTAATGGGAAGGAATTAGGTATATCCGCATGAAGACAGGACAAACTCTTTCAACTCAAGTCTCTTAATTCTTATAAATCCAGCTTAAAGGAGCACAAGAAAAACTATTCAGTGCCACCTTTTTAACAAAACCAAGCCAAATACTGAGGTCCCCCCATGGCATGCTTTGGATACACCTCTGCTCCAATAGACCTCAATCAAATTATTGTACTCCTCATGATGCAATCAATGGCTGCAGATGCTTGTTAATCGAAGTTTTGTTCATGCCAGCCGTGTGGGTGCAGAAATCCTTATAAACTGCAGGATAGAGGGTCCAGAGGACCAGGACAGAAGACCCCTGATATAGAGTAAATGAACAAGATGGATTCCAAATTACACCAGATTCAAAGAACACAACTTAAATCACCATTTTAGACAACGCTTGGCTAATTATATTAACTTTGATAGTATAAGTAAGATTTGACTTTAGTTTTGTTGAATTAATGATGCAGGTTATTATTGTTGCTGCAAATAACATTCACTCATTAAGCCTTAAACCTGAGAATTCATTTTGGGGTTTTTTTTCTCACAATTAATATAAATGCTCATTTATCACTGTATTAAAAAAGATGGCAAAGGTTTCATACATACTTTTTCCTTCCAAGAATCTCTGGAAGAAGCTGTTCCAGTCTCCAGCTTCAGGCTGGGCTTTGTTCATGCGAGCAAAGTGATAAAAAGACACCAAGTTGTCCTTTGCATTGCGGGCTACATAGATTATCTACAGAAGAAATAGCTGTGAGTCTTTCTTAAAATACTTTTCCCATATACAGGTTTTATTGTTGCCAAATGGGCTATACATTAACATCATCCTGTATCTTTATACCCGGCAGTTCTGCTCCCAAAAGGATTTTGGTACAAATTGCACAGGAAAATGGGTTTTTATGAGTCGAGGGGTGGTGGCAAGATTATCTGCCTGGTCTTTTCCTGTATGGGAACACAAAAAAAAAAAAAAAAAACAGAATAAATGGAGATGAAGTCCTCCTCTATAAATAAATCTAATACTGAAAGGATTAATATATATCAACATAGCTGATAAAATAGTAAAGTAGCATTTTAGTGAAGTTCTATTCAATTCAGTTTATTTATATAGCGCACATCCATAACACATCATCTCAAGGCACTTTACAGAGACAATTCAACCAGATCATACAGTCAAATTGATTCAAAGTCTCTATCTTGATAAAAACTGTTGATTAAATCAACTCATTGACTCGAAGGCAATCGAAAGCATGCTTAGTGTGAGGCAATCCCTCACACTAAGAATGCTTAGCACTGAAACAGCGAGGAGAAAAGCATATACCAGAAAGATCCGACAAAACCAGAAGTTATACATATACTAGGAAAGAGAATGGTGGGACAAGATACAGTGGGATTAATTACTGACTAAGAAGCTGACAGATGGAGGTTAGAGAGAAATCTATGGGGTGGGGAAAATGACAAAATCAGGGAACATCACAAAGAAACACTTGGAAAATAACAAATGAACGCAATGAAAAGCATCTTCAAAGGAAGCTCAACTTAACTCAAAATTAAGCCAAGAAACCCAGAAACTCAAAGCTGTGTTAAACACAAACATAAATCCAACACATTATTTCATAAAATTTTGTTCTCACGAATTATAGTGTGAGAAGAATTAAGGTTTATAGTGAGTTTATTAAAATGTAAGATGGCTTGCATCTTTCACCTGACACCAAGTTAGGGATGGTCATTTCCAAAAAAGGCACTCTCTCATAGATAGGGAGGGATGTCAGACGCTCTGGAGACTCCTGCCCGAAATACAGCATGTCAAGGATTTGGGAGATCCATGTGGTCCCTGAAGAAAGGCAGAGAGGCAGACATGCATGATGATTCCAGTTCCTGAAACATCCTTACATTGACTTTCTTTCATTTTCTACCAATTTCCATGGCATAAACCTGACTTTACGAGTACCATCTCACCTTAACCTAAACTTTTTTTCACATCTCAATCAAAGAACCTTAGTCCCCCACCCCCTCCCTTTACCAGTAAGATAAGAAATATACTATCACTCAGCTGCAAGCAAAAGTGTTGAGCCAGACACCCATAAAACGATTACACAAATCATATAGAGATGCTGTATACGGACCTGCTTTAGGATATGTAGCAATAAGTATATCATCTGGTCTGGCTTGAAAATTTTGGATGTTTTCCCAGTTGTCTGTGAAAATGTTCGTCATTGAGACTCCATGAAAATCAAACAGCTTTGGCCGAGATGAAGGATCCATCTTTCAGAGAGGAAAAAAAAGCGAAACATCAAATCCCAGTGGAAGAGCCAGATTGTCATTGTGTGGAGAATGGGGTGAAGCAATGCGAAAATCTAAAGGCAGAGATTTGAGGTTTCTTTAATAATAATAAAAAAAACTTTCAAGAAAAGAAATAGATTAGATGTATTTGTTTATGTTTGATGAGAAATCTTGAGGCTGCATTTAGTTAAATCCTGGAAAACGCCGAGAAACAGAAGGGATAAGATTTAAAACTTCCTCCTGAACCTATTGAACACACTCTCATAAAGATTCTATGTGCATTTAAAGCAACTTCCTCTAAAACCCATTGTAGTGCTTTTGAACCAAGAGCTTAAAACGAAGATTAAATCCACAAGATAATAATGTAGAAGACAAAAACTGTAAAAGTAGTAAAAACTGCAATGCATTACATACCTTAATGAGATCTAGAAACGGGCTATTGCTGAAGTCCTTTTGCTTTTCTTTCCCAGGGTTTCCTGCACTTCCTGCTTGAACTAGAGAGCCAGTTTTTTCCTCATCATATTACATAACGCTTAACTGTTTGACTAGCCTTCCTTCCGGATAGATTTCAGCCTCCAGCCCCTCCTTATCTGTGCAGGTCTGAACTTTTTCCTCCTTTTCTCCTCTCAGATATAGAGATTTTTAAAGCGTTGGTAAAAACTCAGCATGCCCCTTTTCAGGTGAAAAGATTTATATCTTCTGGAGAAGCTATTAAAAACATTGGATCAATGGAAGGGCTTAAACATTTAAAAAAGAAAAATCCCAGAGGAATGAAAGGCGAGAGGGGAGAGAGAAGACATAAATCATCCACTATTTTTGAGGCTTCGCTGTGTGGTCATACATTAATCTACACACACCGTTTAAAGTTCTGTTTGAGGAGGAAATCCTTTATCTTCTCAAAACTGAAGTTGGTATATTTATACCATCTGCTGTGTTTTTCTAAAAATCATACTCCAACAAAGTTTGAGGGAAACCACAGATCTGGAGTAACATGCTGCAGAGGAGGGAAGGACCAATCGCCCCAATCTTCCTTAATATTTTTTTGAATCTCATACAGACATGAAATGCACAATAGAGGGCAGAGGATTTCTGACGCCAATATATATATTTTTAAACCATTTGCAGTTTTCCAAATGCTCATTTGTTTGTTAGTTTTTTTTAGAGAATATGACCAGTCCTTTTAACATGAATCTCATTATGATCTAACCAGACAAGCATGTGTGACAAACATGAGGGGAGGTGTTGCCTAGTGCTTAGAGCAGTGCGCTTGTGCTCTGAGAAGTTTGCCAGAGATAAAGGACTACACTGAAAAACAGTCCGATCTCCAACATCTAAACAAAGGTGTGGATGGCAGCAGCACAGCTGATATTTCTCTCCCGGATGGTACCACAGCCAAACAGGAACAGATTAGGCAAAGCTACTATGAGAAAAAGCAGAGAGAGCATAACGTTATTGAACTAACAGATTCTGCAGAGTGTGAGAATAGAGACAGAATAAGGCAAAATGAAAAGAAGACTTGTAAGCTCAATATTTTTTTCAGATTTAGTATTTTTTTTAAAAAGAAAAAAACAGTCACCTTAAAAGCAGACCAGACATCTTGTTGGAAAGGAATCAAAAACTGTTCAGAATTAAAATTATGGAATCTTTTTGTTTTTGTTAGTATTTGATATATATCAATATTGCCTTTTTTTTTTTTTTTTTTTTTTTTTTTTTTTTTAAGAGGCATTTAAAAAGCCCAATTTTAAAAGGAGGGAACCAGAGAAGTAAGAGAAAAGAGAAATATTAAATTCCTGAAAATAAGATTTAAAAAATTTATTTCAAACATTTTTTTCCCTTGAAAGTAGAGATCAAATTAAGTCAAAAAATACTTAAAATGATCACAAAGAAGAAAATGAGGAATTATGGCACGAACAATAGAAAGTTTAAAGAAGAGAGTTATAGTCGTTTTATAGAGTTAAAGGAAAAATATGCTGGAATACAAGTAACAATTACTACCATGGAGAGGATAAAAACAAACATATTAAGTTGCCAAAATTTAAAAATAAATTACAAATTAAAATCACTTTTAAAATAAATAAGGTCACATCACATTACATTCTGACAAAATCAACGTTTTTGTAGATTAGGGCCACTTAAAAGAAAAAGTTTTACAGATTTTTAAATAAAATTTCAGTTTAACATGGGAAAAAATTCAGAATTATGACTTTACTCTCAGAATTATGACTTTTTTTCTCGGAATCTTGGCTTTAATCTCAGAATTCTGACTTTTTCCTCAGAGTTTTAACTTTAATCTCAGAATTCTGACCTTTTTCCCATATAAAACTAAAATAAAATTTAAAACTTATTTAATTCTTTTTTTTCCCGTTGGCCCTAATCGTCTTCCGTATTTTTGGCATAATCTTCGACAAAAATTATTTTACTGAAATAAAACGATTTTTTTTTAACGTAAGTGCACTGTTGATATCTTACCACAAGGTGACGGTATTAGGCGACAATATTTTCTAGCAGCCGAAAAAAATCCGGAAGTAATTAAGTAGAAGTGACGCAACCGGAACTTAAAAATAATATACAACAAAGATGGCGTCACCCGGCGAGGCAGATGTGAATGCTTCACACGTGGAAAAAAAGAAAAAGGTACTTACATTTTTAATATTATTTAACTGAAATAAGCTTTTGTATGTTTTTTTAAAATTGATAGTAAAGTCAGAACGTCATACATTTCGCGCGTTGTTTCACTGTTAAAATTATGCTTTAACCTTAACGAAGAACTGTTTAAACTGTCTCTCTTTGGTCCTTTTGTCAGCCCCCAGCTCGTTACTGGCAGGAATCACATGAAAAGGAGAATGGCTCAAACAAAGACGAAGGGCAACCTGAGCAGCAGCAGCAGGAGAAGAAGAAGAAGACGCAGAAAACAAAGAAAAGAAAAGGAGACGAGCAGCCCGGAGATGGAAAGAGAGTCATATCAGGGGTAAGAAGACGAGAGCTGTTGGACAAACGGTTCTGGATCCAGTAGAGCACATTTAACTTCAACATACTCAAAATGAATCTATTAAATCCCGTTTATTGCTTCCTAAATATAGACCTTAAATGTCTGACAAACTAAAAGACTACATGATTGACGATCGCTATAATACATTGATGAGGTGGGTTGTTTGTCCCTTAGGGTTGTTTTTTTTTTCACCAAGATGCAAAGTTTTGAGGTAAATCTAAGCTCTTTGTCCAACATACCCCAAATATGCTTGACCAAGTGTAGTGGTTCCGAATAGGTTATTGAAATTTGATCCAACTGTTATATTTGGGTTCTTTTTTCGCATTTATCAGCACTTTGACTTAACTAGCAACTGTGATTCTGTTTGGAACAGATATTTTTTGTTCTTCTTAGGGTATCAAATATGGTATTGAGAATTGAATATTTTCCAGATTATCAAATTACTTTAAACCACTGCAACTGTATCAAAGAGAGTCACGGAGTAACAGCATCTGTGAAAGGGTTTATTGTTTGGTTGAGCATTCTCTTTAGAGGATTGTTCAAGCCCCGCAGCTCTTGATCAACATTCAACACAGCCTCCAAAAGGATTTTTAGGGTTTTTTCATTTTTATTTTCCCTTCCATCCGGATCACTATAATCACAGTGAAAACAAAACCATACAAACATTAACATTTAAGAACATGGGCTCATTATACAAACAAAAATATACCTCACTGCTTTTGCTGGGGAAGTATAAAGCACAAACTCTTGAATCCTGCCCACAGTTAGTTTCCAGTCATTCATTGGTACAAGTGATAGCTGGCAGCTTTTATAAGGCATGCCCTTATTGGCTATGGGATCCCATAATGTACAAAATAAAAACAACTTATTAACAAAACTACTCATTTGAATAATTTACAACCTGTTAAATGATTTATCTTCTAATCAGATCAAAACCAAACATTTGTCAAAAAGTAGTTTTGTCATTTTGATCTAAATCATTAAGAATCGTTCTATCAATTTCTGCTTTATGATTGAATGAGGTCTGCTTAGAGACCTGAAAAACCTAAGATAATGGTCAGCAGTCCTAACCATATCTTGTTAGTGGCAAGATTCCTTCAGTTTTTAGATGTAGGAGGGAGTCTGAATGAGACCAGCTGATCTTTATAAGGTGTGATGAGGCACATAAACATCTACAAAAAGCATGTCCAAAGTCTGTCCTGGAGGGCTGCTGTCCTACAGGCTTTCAATGTTTCTCACTTTCAGCCTGTTAATCAGCTGTCAATAGAAACCTGCTGTGCTGAAGTAGGGAAACGTCTAGGTTAGGACTGAAACGATTCATTGGATTAATTGTGAATAATCAAGTATTGAAATAATCGTCAACTAATTTAGTAATCGATTAATTGTTATTTGGTGTATAGAGACACTAAATCATGCCTTTAGTTGAAAGAGCACTTAGAGCAGTAATTATACAAAAATTGTAAAAACAAATTACCGTATTTTCACGACCATAAGGCGCACCGGACTAAAAGGCGCACTCTCAGTTATGTGTCCCATTTCTGTATTTAACACACACATAAGGCGCACCGGACTATAGGGCGCGTTTTTTATATACAGGTACATGTCCTCTACTACCTTTAAATACCTCTACTGCGTATTTAAAAATACAGCGGGGGCAAAACTGAGTATGACTGTGCTTTATTCATGTATTTATTACAAAGTATTAATCAAACCTGGCAGCTGGCCGTGAGACAGACACATCGCAGATGACACAGCGCTGTGGTCACTCCTAAATTAACTTAAAATCCTGAAACCTGCCGACGGAATATGTTCGCTTTTATTACCGGTATCCTGGTGTCTGCAGCTAAAATTATTTAGATGAAAAACACCTGCCAGCAGCCGCGGTGAACGAAAGGATTTCTCCTGTCGGCGCACCGCTGGTATGTGGGGGTCTGAGCGCCTCCGACAGAAATAGATAATCTGGATGAACTGACTGCAATTATTAAGTTTTCAGGTGGACTTTCTCACTTAAAAACATATTAAAACTACTTTATTCCAACTGATCACAGCAAATATAGCTGCAAGATTTAGATTATTTAGATGAAAAAACACCTGCCAGCCACCGCGCTGAAGAGGAGGAGACGCGCTCAGAGGATGCTGTTGAATTAAGTTTTCAGGTAGAAAAATAGAGCGGGAGCAAACCTGAGTATGATTGTGCTTTATTCATGTATTTATTACAAAGTATTAATCAAACCCATCAAAGTCATCATCCTCTGTTATCCTCAGCATTCCTCTGAATAAAACAGCTGCGCTAAATCAGACATGCCAGTTTCCCCTTTTTCTGCGCTGTCAGTCACTTTCCGTGCAGCGCGGCTCCTCAGAAATAATGCTGGCTTTTGCAAAAGCTTGAACAACAGAGCCAGCAGACACGTTAGTCCATCTACAATCCATCCGCAAACGGTGGCGTAACTTGCACGGCGCTGCCTTCCATTTATCCTGAAACTGTGGTCTCAGTCTGTCATCCATCGCTCCCACGCCGCTCGCAGCCTTACTGTGAACGGCCGCTCCACACCGATGTCAAGCGGTTGAAGTTCCTTTGTCAGACCCCCGAGATAACGGCGAGCACAGCGTTCATTTGATTCATCTTTTTTTCACATCGGCTGTGAGATGGGCACGCAGCGATGGTGATGCGTGGAAAAAAGCACCTGGTCTCCCCACATACACCTGCCTTTCATCATCTCCTCATTCATCCAGCATTTTTCATTTGCGTTAATATCATGTCATCAGAGCGCTGTCTGTCTCCCAGCCAGCTCCCAGATCAGCTTCTCTGATTGGTTGATGCGGCGCGTCCAGCAGCAAAACTTCAATTTTTCCATCTGAGCAGCAGCAGCGCGTTGGCGGTGCGTCAGATGCTTAAACGCTCCCGACGTGCTGCACCAAAACGCGCTGCAGGACCTTTTGCTGCACCTATATGCGCGTCAACCATTGACTTTGCATGTAAACTCGCTGCTTCTGCTGCATCTGCTGGGTCCGGTTCACACCGATGTCGAGCGGTTGAACAGCGAGCACAGCGTTAATTTGTTTCCCCATGTTTTTCACATCAGCTGTGAGATGGGCACGCATGGAGTTACATATTAACAGCGATGGTGAGGGGTGGAAAAAAAACACCTGGTCTCCTTACATTCAGCCACTCTTTCATCATCTCCTCAATGAGGTGGTCTCAAAAGTCGCAGTTACAACACACATAAGGCGCACCGCACCATAGGGCGCACCGCACATTTTGAGGGGAAAAAAAGACGTTTAAGTGCGCCTTATAGTCGTGAAAATACGGTAAACTCCATCAGTAGAAAAGTTGTATTTTCACCTGATTTAAATATCATACAAAAATGTTCTTTAAGGAATCTTTGGCTATCCGAGTATTAATTGAAACACAATCGACAGAGTAATCAATTTGCTAAACAATAAGTTGCAGCCCTAGTCTAAAACCTGAAGGATAGCGGCCTGGAGGACCGATGCCTGAACTAAAAAATGCAGGCACTGATTTCCAACTAATGACTTTATCCACATCTGTTTGAGGGTGGGGTGATGTGATACTATTTCTGTTTTTTTTTTTTTTTTTCCTTTGGGACATTGCTGCGAAAGCAGAAAAGTCAAATGTCTTTGAATGTTAAGATTATGTTGTTTTTAAGACATTCATTTAACAACAACAACATTTTTAAAACCCTTTCCTAAATGAATTGCTAGAAAATTGAAACCTCAAAATAAATCGGTCAATATTTTCATCTCAACAAGTTTTTAATAACTCAGTAAATTATGTCTATCTTTCAGAAATCCGACCCTTTCCCTGGGCCCGCTCCTGTCCCAAAACACAAATTGCAGAAATTCAAGAGGAAAGACAACACAACAAAGGTAAACAGTTTTATGTACACACTGTTCTGGCTATTTGCAGTTAGTTTTTCCCTCCCTAATCTTTGTGCTTCTCTGTTGCTTTTTCAGCCTAATTGGAAGCATTACAAGCTGAAGGATATCGTCAAGCGTGCAGAAGAAGGTTCAGAAATGGCCCAAAAACAAGCTGCTCGGTTTGACCTCCTACTGCCAGAGGATGCAGGGTAACTTACTCTAAAACTAGGCAAAGCTGACATCAGGTCTGAAACCAAGTCCTTTAAAACCTTTTCTCTCTTTGACGGCAGATTTTTAGAAGGCGATGAAGATGAGGACACTTGTATGATCTCTCAGGAGGATATTGCGGATGCTGTGGACATTACCTCTGGAGCAAAGGTGCCAAGCATTTAAAGCAACTATTACAATTCAAAGACGCTATACAAGTAAAACCATTTGTTTTTAAACGTTTTGTTAAGCAGCTTTGCCATTTACTGTATTTTCACGACTATAAGGCGCACATAAACGTCTTTTTTTCCCCTCAAAATGTGCGGTGCGCCCTTTGGTGCGGTGCCCCCTATGTGTGTTGCAACTGCGACTTTTGAGACCATCTCATTGAGGAGATGATGAAAGAGTGGCTGAGGGAGGTGAATGTAAGGAGACCAGGTGGTTTTTTCCACTCATCACCATCGCTGTTAATCTGTGACTCATGTGTGCCCATCTCACAGCTGATGTGAAAAACATAGTGAAACAAATGAATGCTGTGCTCGCTGTTATTCAACCACTTGACATCGGTGTGAACCGGACGCAGCAGGCGCAGCAAGTTTACATGCAAAGTCAATGGTTGACGCGCGTATAGGCGCAGCAAAAGGTCCCGCGGCGCGTTTTGAGCAGCAGGCGCAGCGCGTCAGGAGTGTTTAAGCATCTGAAGCGCCGCCAACGCGCTGCTGCTGCTCGAGATGGAAAAATTGAAGTTTTGCTGCTGGAAGCGCCGCATCAACCAACCAGAGAAGCTGATCTGTGAGCTGACAGCGAGACAGACACATCGCTCTGATGACATATGATATTAAGGCAAATGAAAAGGGCTGGATGGATGAGGAGATGATGAAAGCGTGGCTGAGGCAGGTGTAAGTGAGGAGACCAGGTGTTTTTTTCCATGCATCACCATCGCTGTTAATCTGTGACTCCATGCGTGCCCATCTCACAGCCGATGTGAAAAACAAGGTGAAACAAATAAACGCTGTGCTCGCTGTTATCCCAGGGGTCTGACAAAGGAACTTCAACCGCTCGACAATGGTGTGAACCGGCCGTTCAAAGTAAGGCCGCGAGCGGCGTGGGAGAGATGGATGACAGACGGAGACCACAGTTTCACGAAAAGTGGAAGGCAGCGCCGGGCAAGTTACACCCACCGTTTGCGTCCTCATGTGTGTGTTAAATACAGAAATGGCACGCATAACTGTGACTGCGCCTTTTAGTACGGTGCGCCTTATGGTCGTGAAAATACGGTATACCTCAACAAACGATTGTGCTGGTAACTAAAATAGTCAGACTTGTCAACAGAACTCAGTCAAAATAGTTAATTTTTTTTTTTCAAATAGTACCGTATTTTCACGACCATAAGGCGCACCGTACTAAAAGGCGCACTCTCAGTTATGTGTCCCATTTCTGTATTTAACACACACATAAGGCGCATCGGACTATAGGGCCCGTTTTTTATATACAGGTACATGTCCTCTACTACCTTTAAATACCTCTACTGCGTATTTAAAAATACAGCGGGGGCAAAACTGAGTATGACTGTGCTTTCATGTATTTATTACAAAGTATTAATCAAACCTGGGAGCTGGCCATGAGACAGACACATCGCAGATGACACAGCGCTGTGATTACTCCTAAATTAACTTAAAATCCTGAAACCTGCCGACGGAATATGTTCGCTTTTATTGCCGGTATCCTGGTGCCTGCAGTTTAAATTATTTAGATGAAAAACACCTGCCAGCCGCCGCGGTGAGGCTGCTGTTGAAGGGATTTCTGCTGTCGGTGCACCGCTGGTATGTGGGGGTCTGAGCGCCTCCGACAGAAATAGTATAGGCACGATAATAATCTGGATGAACTGACTGCAATTATTAAGTTTTCAGGTGGACTTTCTCACTTAAAAACATATTAAAACTACTTTATTCCCACTGATCACATCAAATATAGCTGCAAGATTTAGATTATTTAGATGAAAAAACACCTGCCAGCCACCGCAGTGAAACCAGAGGAGACCCGCCCAGAGGCTGATGTTGAATTAAGTTTTCAGGTAGAAAAATAGAGCGGGAGCAAAACTGACTATGATTGTGCTTTATTCATGTATTTATTACAAAGTATTAATCAAACCCATCAAAGTCATCATCCTCTGTTTCTGAATTAAACAGCTGCGCTAAATCAGACATGCCAATTTCCCCTTCTTCGCTGTCAGAGTCACTTTCCGTGCCGGGCGGCTCCTCAGAAATAATGCCGGCTTTTGCGAAAGCTTGAACAACAGAGCCAGTAGACACGTTAGTCCAAGCATCTACAATCCATCTGCAAACTGTGGCGTTAATTGCCCGGCGCTGCCTTCCACTCATCGTGAAACTGTGGTCTCTGTCTGTCATCCATCGCTCCCACGCCGCTCGCAGCCTTACTTTGAACGGCCGCTTCACACCGATGTCGAGCGGTTGAAGTTCCTTTGTCAGACCCCCCGGGATAACGGCGAGCACAGCGTTCATTTGATTCACCTTTTTTTCACATCGGCTGTGAGATGGGCACACATGGAGTCACAGATTAACAGGGATGGTGATGCGTGGAAAAAAGCACCTGATCTCCTCACATAGCCTACACCTCCCTCAGCCACGCTTTCATCATCTCCTCATCCACCCAGCCTTTCTCATTTAATATCATATGTCATCAGAGCGCTGTGTCTGTCTCGCTGTCAGCTCCCAGATCAGCTTCTCTGATTGGTTGATGCGGCGCGTCCAGCAGCAAAACTTCAATTTTTCCATCTCGAGCAGCAGCAGCGCGTTGGCGGTGCGTCAGATGCTTAAACGCTCCCGACTCGCAGCGCCTGCTGCTCAAAACGCGCTGCGGGACCTTTTGCTGCACCTATACGCGCGTCAACCATTGACTTTGCATGTAAACTCGCTGCTTCTGCTGCACCTGCTGGGTCCGGTTCACACCGATGTCGAGCGGTTGAACAGCGAGCACAGCTTAATTTGTTTCCCCATGTTTTTCACATCAGCTGTGAGATGGGCACGCATGGAGTTACATATTAACAGCGATGGTGATGAGTGGAAAAAAACCACCTGGTCTCCTTACATTCAGCCACTCTTTCATCATCTCCTCATTGAGGTGGTCTCAAAAGTCGCAGTTACAACACACATAGGGCGCACCGCACCATAGGGCGCACTACACATTTTGAGGGGAAAAAAAGACGTTTAAGTGCGCCTTATAGTCGTGAAAATACGGTATGTAACAGGAATTTTTATATTACAGCTCTTTGGGTCCTTAATTGTTTGGGAACATTATGCTCCTTAATCTGCCTGTAGGGCCTAAACTGACGCTTAAAGCCACTGGAGTATTTTAAGAGATGGTGAACAGGAAATGTCCAGATGCTGTTTTTGCAGTTAAAAGCCAGTTTTTTTCCCACTGTTGCTTACTTGCAAAAACAAAAATTTATACCAATGGCCAGCTGTGGGTTGACAGCATTTCCCGGCCAAGCGGTCAAAACTGATTTCCCTTTTCTGGTGAAACACGCGCCCATACACAGATCATTTCCTTTCTTTATTTATAGTTTGTGTACATAGTGGCTTCTACATACCGGTCCCTAACTGTTAGACATAACAATTCCACAATACACATTTTCAAGCCAGAATTATTTAAACCAACACCATAAGTTACATTTCATGCAAAAGACACAATTTGGCGAATGGGTGCTTTTTTTGTTTGCAATTTTACAGTGCGAACAAAACCCCTTTTGTCAAGCATAAGCTCTAAGACTCTTTCAAAACACCAAGAACCTCGTGGTGCTAAAGAGTCAATGATTATAACAATGGCCCCAATAACCAAGTTTCTTTTAGCTTGGTTCCATTTTTGCATTTCTTGGTGCAATGATAAGTTTTCCCTGGCCCATGGTCTCCAAAACAGATCAGAGATATATTGAATCTGCTTCCAGCGTTGATTTGCATACAGATCTGCTGTATCAAAAAGTCCAGGTGGTAGTGCTGGTTTTCATATGCAATGATTGTTGTTGTTAAACTGAGCTAAGAATGCGTTTTATCATGCGTGTGATACGCTCCCAGATGCTCCCATGATAAGGTCCTACAGGTGGGTTAAAACTCCATTCTACTCCAGATGGAATCAGTGTCTTTTTAATCTTTTTATGATTTAAAGCATCCAAAGCTTCTTACAGTTCTCTTGCTGCACCTACACCTTCTTTTGTCTGATCTCATGTGAACAACTTGACCTCTTCTTGTGAATTGTGAATCTTTCTCCTTCTACAATGCTCGAGTAGGATGGACTTTAGTTTATTAAACCAAGCAAATGATTTCTTCAGCTTTTGCCAATCAGAAAAATAACTGATGAGCCGAGCGAAAGGATTTAATTCATTCCAACATGTCACACTCACAACTGCAGTTTAGTGGAACTCAGGATCGTCAACTTCTAACACAGGATCAAAGGAAGCTTGTGGCCATTCCTGGTCAGATTTCCTTAAAAAACTTGGGACCTTAAAGCCAGATGTGATGTTCAATAAAGTCCAATCTTCTCATTCCTCTTGAGACAGCATCCGTCTGATTTCCCTCTGAGCAGATATTCCTCCATTGAGAAGGATGTGAAGCCTCTCTTATAGCAGAGACTCAATTTGCCACAAACACTTGAAATCTGTTTTTATTGTAGATGTACTTCACTACCGACATACTGTCGGTCCAGAACACAGAATCATCAATCCACAGTTGCAGCTCTGCTTTCAACAGGGCATCCACCCAAGCACCCAGAACGGCAGCTGTTAATTTCATTCATGGGATTGTGATGGTCTTCAGTGGAGCAACTCCTGCCTTGCCTAATAAGAATGCAATGTGGATGTCATTCTGGGAGTTTTTCCAGCTGAATGTAGGACACAGTTCCATAGCCATCTTTGCAAGCATCAGCAAAATTATACATTAATGTATAAACAGACTCCCCTAGTCTTTTGGTAAAATATGTCAATTCATCTGAAATGGTGTCCAGGGTACAGGCTCTTCAGTCCATGAATTCCATGTTTTTTTCAAAATGTCTGGAGGTAAAGCCACATTTTCTTTTGCAATGTTTCTCTTGCAACATCTTGGCATAGAGAGTGACAGGTGCAAGAATTCCCAAAGGATCATACACAGGCTCGTTACTCA